TTTAAGTTGTTAAGGAGCTGTCAAGGAGTGGAACCAGGTCTCATGTTCTTTTTGCCACTTTAGACTTCCTCTCATTAGTGAGTGATTAGTAATTAGTTGTTCAATGTGGGATGTTGAATTGGAGATAAAATTGGAGACTAAACTTAGAATTTGAAGATGAGCCATAGTATAATGGAAAAAGTGCTAGCTTTGGTATCAGAAGACTCTGGTTCTAGCCTATGGAACTGTGGGGGACTTTGTATAACTCATTCCCCCACCCCTACCCCTCTTTGAACCTCAGTTTCTTCCATCTTTAAAATGGTTTAAAGTACTTCATAAAGCATTATACAAATTACACCACACAACCATTATTACTTTTCTAGTTGTAATGGATTAGGCTTTCTTTAATGATTATCAGGATTGAGAAACAGAAAATTTCCAGTATAATTATGCCAAAGAGTAAGCAAATGTAAAAATTTGTTGGTATTACTCTATTCAGTTCATTGGAACTATATGCAGCCTTGTCTGGGTTCCATATTCTGGTTCTGAGAGGAAGTAAAAATTCTACAGCTGGGGGAGAGAATTACCCCAACTGGAAAGTGACCAGCAAATTGAGATGGGTTTTGAATCCTTCAGTCAATATTTTGCCAGTCATCTTCCCTATGCAATGAACATTAAGGTATTGGGTTGGATATGGAGTGAAAGGCTTCATTTCTGTCTTTGAGGAGATATAATTTAAATATTCTTCAAGAGTTTGTGATTTCATTGGTGTGGAAGGGCTCCTTCCACTGATGTCCCGTTTCTCTGACTTAGTTGATAGTTTTTAAGTTGCTGTGGCCCCCTGTGACTAGTCTTCTGGTGAAGCTAAACTCTCAAAGGGTGGCTCTTGGATACTAGAAATGGTCCATCAGTGGGCCAGAACTTCGTCTCTGCACCAGAGAGACACCAGAGAATTAAACAGAGTTAGTACAAGAGAGCATATAATTGCAAAAGTTAGTGGCTCCTGAAAGATTAAGTGGAAGATTTCATTTCAAATGTTAGGTGATTCTTTTCTGTGCCTGTGGGTATTTAAGGAAAGCTGCTTCCCAATTTGGCTTAGAACATCTTGCAGTAAAGAACTTGTGTGGAGTATGGGAGTGGGAATCAGGAAGTCCTATATTCAAATCTCATTTCTGCCACTTTTTAGCTCTGTGACTGGGCAAATCACTTAACTCGTCTGAACTTCAGTATCCTCATGTGTAAAACAGGGATAGTACTATGTTCTTACATTAACTCTCCAGACCATCGTGAGTCTTAAATGAGCTTTGCCGGCTCCCAAGAGCTATATCAATGTCAGCTGTTGTTAAAACTTTAACCTCAGTTTTATCTTCTGAAAAATTGGCAGAAGTGAGGGGGGTGGGGAAACAGTTCAGACTACATGATCTCTAAGGTCCTTTCCAGATTTAACATTCTATGATGGTGAATTACGAATTTTAAACAAGTTGTTCTCAGTATATTAACATAATTTGCATGTATTATAAAAATATTGCAAAGATGGAATAGTAACTCTGATTACTTTTAACTCATAGCAAGAGTAATAACAACTTTAATAACCACACAGGATCTTATGGGTAAGTAAACTTATGGGTAAGCATTCTCTCCTCTTGCCTTTCCCTAATACACACTTACCTTAATTTCGTAAGATAATTACATATACTCTTTTACTGTAATCCAGATATAAGGGGGGCAGTGGTATTTGTTAGCTCAGGTGAGTCTGTTGTAGACTAGAAATTAGTGAACAGGAACAGCTTCTCCTTGGTCTTAAGCAGTTGATGCTGGTACTGTGAAATTTGACCAGTTCATGGATTAAAAGGCAAGACTAAAAACGGTGTGCCTCCAGCTATAGACTTCCCTATAAACTTCTTGCCATACTTTTTCATTTGTAAAATGAAAGGATTTCCTAGATTATCTCCAAGGTCCCTTCCAGCTCTAAATCCGGTGAATCTCACAAGGTATCCTCCCCCTCTTCCTCAGGGAAGTGCACACTTTGCAGAAAGAAGTGAATGAAAGCTTGGTGGGTCATCCAGTCTCTTCCTCCTCCTCCTCCTCACACTGGGTTTGGGGAATGTGTGTTCTCTAGCATGTAGGGAAGAATCAGCAGCATGGTGATGTGCTGGCTTTAAGATCAGAGAACCTACATGTGAATCTAGATCTCTGTTCTTTACTTTAACCTTGGACAAGTTAACTTCTAGGTCTGTTTTCTCATGTGAAATCCCTTTACCTGAGATGAAGCTTTTAAACGTACCTGTGTCCCCTAAAGAATAATAAAAAAAGAGTAACTGGATTCTCCTTAAGCTTCCACATTTGAAAACAAAAAACTTTTCAACTTAAAGTATTGCCATATTTGTTTTGAAAATTTGTGCCTGATTTTGCTCAACTATCACAGCATGACTTCATTTCCCTGAGTATGTGCAAGTTTGGTTTAATAAGTGATTTTGTCTTCCATTTAAAAGAGAACTGTTCATATTTAACATTTTTGTATTTAAGTTCTATTAATATTTAACATTATTTTTGTATTTCAGTTCTTGTCCGTTTCCTGATCATGCTGGCTCTGAACATATGGGTAACAACTACAGTACTTCACTATAGGAAAACAGCTACAAAGGATGAATAACAGAGCATCCCCAGAATGAAATATAGCTCAAACTGGACCAAAAGAGAATTAATTTATTTTTTCCAGCATGAGTGAAGCAAGGTCATTTGGATATTAAAATCAGTATGATAATGGAAGTGTGGCAGCCTTACTATCTAAACACCTTTTTCTACCTTTCAGCTTGAAGTTAGAATATATGTGCTGTTCCCATTTTTCCTGTGGGACAACAGATTTGAACAGGGCAAGCTGGAGCTGTATCCCAAAGATTTCAGATTGTTAAGAACCAGAAGGGATCTTATTGGTTATCTAGTCCAAATCTGTCTTTTTACAGAGAAACTGTAGAGAGGGGAAAAAAAAGTCACTTAAGATAGTGACTTGACTCCTTGGCCAGTGTTCTTTCCACTTTAACCTCAAATTGTTTGTCATTAAAAATCTCACTGTGCCTTGGTCATTTCCTAAAGGTGATGAGATTATACTTGCAGTTACACATGGCAATTCCATTAATGTGCCTGGTTTCACATAAGGCCTCTATTATTGGAAGGGACACTTACACAATTATCTTCACTGGATTTTGAAACTAATATAGCTGGGCAAGACCAGTTTTTGTTTTTTTGAAAACAAATACATGCACTATGGGCTCATAAAATTTAGGTGGAAGGGACCTTTCATTGTACAACCTAGAAAAGGGCATTGATTTAACCAAAGATAAAGAACTAATAAGGAATTTGTTGATCCCCTAGTTTCAGTGAAGATATGAAGCCCAGGGGAAGATAAATGACTGGCCCAAGGGGTAGAATGAGTATTAGAATACAGGCCATACTAAATCACAGGGTGTTAATGACTGGTTCAAGTATTTGAACATGACCTTTCTAATATATCCACTGCTGCCATTTTGGCATAATTCCCATATATTATACCTTTCCTTCTTATTTGACCCTATCATTAAGTAAAATATGTGGAAGTGAAGTGTGAACTTTTCTCTTTGCTTTTGACTGCTTGTCTGCATACAAATCGGTTTTAAAAAAAGGTTTAAATTTAATTAGCATGTAAAATAAACATTCATACTTTGAACATTGGCTGGTTTAAAACTTTCATGAATTTCTGGGGGTCATGATATACATTTCAAGAATCTATGGGTACTATCGCTTTAATTTAATGGATGTTAAGAGATTTTGGGACAAAAATCTTTGGGAGCTCAAGTCATGGTGAAGCACTTCAGGAAGACTTGAGTGGAATTATATAGCTGGTAGCTTTTAAACTGCTTAAATAGTTGTCAGCCCTTTCAGAATAGAATGATGGGGCTAAAAAGAGAAAACACTCTATATTATGATATTATTACTAGTATGAAAAACCACCTCTCCCATGCAGGCAAATTGTAAACATTTTGTAATTACAAAGTAGTAAATGAGTGAATTCTTCTTTCTAGTGGGATTTCCATTGTACAAGTCAAGGGTTACAGCCAGCAAAAGGAATAAAGAGTTAGTCTACTGTGATAAAATGATGGGGTGGGGATTCAAGGAGAAGCTTTGGCAACTATCAAAACAAAATTCAACAGAGACATATCCAAAACCCCAAACACCTACCAGAAATGGACAAGGAGAAAAAACACTGAAAATTATGGAATCATAGATCTAGAACTTGAAAGATCTCAAAATTCCTTCATTTTACAGTTGAAGAAACTGAGATCCACAGAAGCTCAGGGCCACATGGGAAAAGTGTCAGAGGCAGAACCCAGGTCCTCTTAGCTTCAAAGACAGTACCTTTCCAGCATACTATGGTGCACACTATGCACCTGAATAAGTGATACTAAAATAAGAGTGTTCCAAAAGTCTCAGTGCATTTTTAAGCTATTAAGGTTTGCAAAGCAAGTTAGTCCTTTCATCAAAATCACCCTGTGAATTCTGTGGTCTAAGTGAGGAACCCAGGGTCCATAGGTGAAATGATTGCTTGTGGTCACACAATTGGAAAGAGGCATAGTTAGGATACAGGCCTACATTTGGTAACTACAGAATTGATGCCTGTGGGGATTTGTCATTGCTGCCTTTATAATTTTAAGAACCACCTGAATCCAAATTAAGAAATTAGTGGGACCCCTGTATTAGTTTCTGACCAAGCTCCCTTTCCCCATGCCCATAAATTTCATGTATGAACTATTTCTAGTAACTTAAATATATCAGAGAAGACAAGACAAAAACCCCACCCAAAATGCTTGGTCATGAAGAGAGGCTCTTAACTGAAATTCTGATTTATATTTTTCCATGACTCCCAGGCACACTCCCAGGCACAATCCCAAGTTTGATTACCTAAGTCAGAAGCATGTCTGCTACACCCATCTTTCACTGAAGGAAAATTCCTGTGGTAAGCTTTAAGAAGTTGAAGCATTCCAGAATTGTATTTTCACAGGAAAAGTATGAACATGCATACTTCTCAATTCCTTTTATTTAATTTTCTTTTCAAAAGCAGGCATAGGATACAATCACAATGCTACAAAGATGATGCGACAAAAGTTTCCAAAAGTTAAATCCGGGGGCTATGATTCTTTTTTTTTTTTTTTTTTGGTTTGGTGTTTAAAAGGAAAAAAAAAAGATATCTGATAAAATATCTGTATAATGATTATGTAAGCTGTGCATTTCATAATTCATTCAAAACCATTCCCAATAAAATTTATAGATGAGGGGCAGATAGAAGACAAGACTAAACCCCCTGGCATAACATCTCAGTGCTTCTTCAAAGTGCTTTACAAAATGTTCTACAGTATCCTCACAACACAGTTGGGGATTTAGGGAGGCCCAAAAACTTTGCAGACATTCCAAGGCAAGAGTAAAGAGCCAAATGCTAGACCAAACTAATTTATAAATTCAGATGTGCCTGGCTCTGCTCTGATCACTGGAACCTCGGACATGAGAAATCTCTATAAAATCTAATGTTTAAGCAAGTATCAGTAAGTCAATGCATTGTTTATAATTATCTCCATTTTCCTACAAAGGATAGCAGAAGGCTTGATCATCAACAGCAGCATTCTTTCCTAAAATGTAATTTGGCTACTCATTTTATGTATTGTTAAGAATTTTTAGTTAGGTATAAGGTCATAAAAATTGAGTCACTGAAGATTACTATGGCTCAGCTTTATATATAGGCTACCCTTTATTTTATTTTTATTGGTGTACCCATATATTCATCAGTTGACCCCAGACCCCTTTACTTTCTGATGGATAAAAGAAATGTTTATTTGGTGTGTACTTTAAATTTGCAGTAAAATCACTGACACTACAGATAAAGATGATAATTGTATGATTCCTCTTCCACGTGGCATTTCTTTACTCCTACTTCCATAGGAAATATTTGTGTCTGTAATAGAGGTCTTGCCTGACGAAATGCACCAGGCTTTATGGATGAGCTGTTTTTGAACTTAAAAATATTTTAATCTGAATAGTGTAAAGAGAAATAATCCATAGAATGTTTAATTTGGGGACTTGCAGGACGGTAGAAAAATGGAGATTGGCACAATTAGGTATCCATGCCAAGGGAATGTAATATGCTGAAGAGATTATATTTGAATAGGGACATGTATGCATAGAGTATGATTTAAGGTTAGAAAGGGGGAAATGGCGAATTCTTACCTGAAGCGGGAATAAGAATTAAGAAAAAAATTATTGTTTGAAATGGGAAACCAACCTCATAAACCTTGATTATGTCAATAAAATGAAATGTAGAAAATCTCCATGGGAGAGAATTTTTTTTTCTTAGCAAATTATCCAATTTGAGAAACTTCACATTTTTCCCCATATAGAAGAGATGCCATGATTCTTCATACTCTCAATTATTTACATCTTCCAAAGTTTACTTTTAACATCCACTTTTGCCTTCTATATTCAAATATTTCAATTACCATGTGTAAACTTAAAACTATTTCACCTTAAAACAGTTTATTTAAAAATATATATATTTATATATTCTCTCCAATTCAGAATAATAGGATAGAACTTCCCACAATGTAACAAAATCTTTATATAAAATATTTATGCATTCAGTCTCATTTAAACAAGTCTAATGAATGGAAATATTTACTCTATATAAATTTTATATATTTTTTTCACACTTTAAAAAACATGCTGTGCTTTAAAACTAGATTGTAACAAACCAATATTTGAAAATGAAATGGCATGCACATTCTAGTTTTAAGGGTCCACAGCCAACATGAAAGAGTGCAGATTCAATAAATCAATTCTGTTAAAGGTGAGAGAAAAGGGGCAGGAGAAGAGAAGAGAGAGAATTTAGTTTTCATACAGTGATAGGCCAAAGGCCACTCTTCAGCTTCCCATGATAGTGTTTTATAATTGTGGTCCTAATTTTCCAAACATTTCTATGTTGTCCCTAGAGAAAGGAACAATGAAATGTCTACTTCCTTCATTGAAATGTTAGGTGATATATTTTAATTATCACACGCTCTCTCTATAGATGTAGATAGATATAGATATAATATACAATCTATATATATCTATAGATATAGAGACCGACCAGTTAGAAGCTACATAATTTCTTTACTCTAAATATCTTTAACATTGTAGCATACTGTAGTTGTATACAACATGCAATTTTCTGGGATGGTGATGAATACAAAATAAATGAGCCCACAAAATTCTATTTTTGTACAAGATTGAATTTAAAAAATAAATTCAATTTAGTTTTTAGGCCCCTTCTTCCCAAGTATCAGTTCTCATTAGTACACAACTGAAATAATACATACAGCCATGTCCTTGAAAACAGTATAGAAAAATTTAAGATATATCTACAGTATGTTTTAGTTTTTTTCAAAGTTTGTGATAACTCTTGAATACTTGTATTATGTATGAAAATGTAAAAGATAGAGATGACCCCCCCCTCCCCCCACAAAAACAAAATAGAACAAAACTGAGCCAGGATACAAACAAGGCAAAACAAAGCTTCATAGCACTTAATGAGAGTAATACCAAGTCACTGAATAATACTGAGGTTTGTAAAAAGGGCTGGATGAAAAATTACCAGTACACATTGAAGTTATCTTAGTTCTCATACTATCAATTACTGTTCCTGGTAACCAACCTTTCCTGCCAAAAAAACAAAACCCATTCACTATACATTCAAAATAGGCTGACATTGCTATAACTATTATGTGTAAAAATAGTGCTCTATTTTTCTTCCACAAAGCAAATTTGTATTCTAAGAGCTGGTAAACATTTGTTTTCCTTTATCATTTTAAATATATAGAGTGGGCTGAGACTCGGGGGGGGGATAGGGGAAGAGAGGTGGAAGTAAAGGACTTAAATTAAGGCATTCAAATGGCAAAGTAGGGTTGTCCATCATGAAGCAATATTAAATTGATATGATTAACTTCAAAGTTTTCATTACATTAACTGCTCAAACACATTGACATGCAGCTTTTTTGGATATATATATGTATATATATGAATGAATAATATTAACTTCAACATTATGGCTTTATACAAGTGCATAGTTGCAACTGCAATAAGTAATGGTATCTGATCAATGTGTATAAAAAATAAAGTGGAAAGTCTTAAAAATCCTCTTGAAGTATTACAGTACTATATATATAGATACACACACAGTATAATGGTCACTTCTTAAGGATTCAGTCTATATATACCACTATGGTAGAATCTTTCCCAATCCCGAATTCTTCTGGTAACCTTAATATGCTGGTGAAATCTCTCCAGTGAAGCTGAATGATAATCGCTTTTATTTCAACTCTTCTCAGTCCTCTTGTGAAATGTAGTGTCGTCCAACAGAGTTTTGCAGAACAAGACTTTGGAGGGAGGTATCCCTACAGTATCTTTATTCTGTTGCCAATGACTCTTGGTTTAATCAGTCACCTTAAAAGATCTGAGGAAACCTCTCTAAGATTACTGATTTATATTGCAGTCCCCCAAAAAAGTAAACCACTGATTTATACATATACACACATATATATATGTGTGTGTGTATGTATGTATATGTGTGTATGTGTGTGTATATATATATATACATATATATATATATATATATCAATCTCTCAGGAAAATATAGCTTCTTTCTTTCATTTAATAAATTTGGGGATATCACATTCCAGTCTTGTTCATAACAGGCAGAAAATGATCACCATGGATAGTGACTGCATTCACAGAAGGCAGTTAGCTGAGGAGGAAAAAAAAAAGATTTGTCACTGTCAGGAGTTGCCTTGTCAAACTATAGTTATCTCCAAATTCCTTCTAAGCCCACCTAATTTAAAAGATATTCTGACACATCACTATATGTATACCTTCTTCAAAAAAAATTATACCTTACCATCAGTGGGCATAGTTATTAAGCCCTTAGTGGGACTAATTTTCACAAACCCCACTTAATACTAATATTACAAGTTAAATAGTAGAGTACTGTCATGATTGATGTGGTGGCAACAATTTGAGGGTTTGCAAAATTAAATCTATTATGGCAACACAAGCTGTATTAATGTTAACTAATAAATATAAAAATATACATCAAAATGAACAAGAAAATATCCCAATTTTACCCAGTATAATTTTAATTACGTGCTACGGTGAAATATGCTCTAATTCTTCCAAACTAGGTTGGAGCTGAAAAGATAAATGTTAAGATTATTATCTCTTAGACAAACATAGCAATGATTATTTGAATTACTTTATTTTTACATGACAGCAATGGGGACAATCAGCGTTACTGCTTGAATTATTCTCCAAGTACAGAATTATAAGACAAGCCAGCAAACACTTCACACCACTACAAAAAAGCCAAGTCAGAAAAGGGTATTTCACAGCACTGTCAAGAAATGGAAAGCTCTTGCAGTTTCAACCTTGCAAGTCTGAAGAAAAGGGGACAGGGAGAACATGCTATTTTCACAGATGAATTCAACAGCAAATAGAAGAAAACAATTTTACTTTCCCCTTCAAAACAACTTCGAATGGGCAGTAGTTATTGAATTACCTTTTATTATAATTTTTTTAAAGAGATTCTACTCCAAGTTGCCATTCCAAGTACATTAAAATATATCAAATGCACCTGTATGTTATTTGACTTTTTAAAAGTTTAGTTGAAACATTTTCTGAAATTTAACTTTTAAAAACTAACTTTTCAATAATATTTTAAAATATGTGGGGGGGGGGGGGGGGAAGACTAGGGAACATAAAAGCCCAAATCCAAACCACATGCTCTAGGCAGAAAGGAAAGCATCCATTTCTCATTTGAATTACCCCATTCATTTCTTCAGAAATCAAAAACACCGTCATCATCATCACCATCATCATCAATATCATCAAATGACCAATCCCAGTCCTTAAATGCCAAATCAAGCAGTCTGTAATAGGAGGTTTACATATTGACACTTGGCTATACTCTGCATTTGAACGACCCCATTATAAAATCGTCATATATGATAGTCATGTAAGCATTTTCTTTAACACTTCACTTCCTTATCAATCACAATTTAAAATATGCATATAATTCATACAGATATTAGGTAGAAATCTGTGGTTATTAAAAAATCTGCAACTTTCCAAGAGACAGTCTTTATGTTCAATTCTGGGCCCAATTCGTTGTTCATTTGCAGTATCTTTCCAAGGTACAGATAGATATTCTGATGGACAGGCTCTATGGTTTGTCCATTCAATTGCATGCCATATTCCATCCTCCTTACACTCTTCTTAAGCTCTTACAATCTGGTTTCCAACCTTATCAGTCCACCAAAGTTATCATTGATCTCTTGTCAAATACAATGGCCTTTTCTCAAACCTCATTCTTCTTAACCTCTTTGCAGCCTTTGACACTGTTGATTACTCTCTACGTTTTCAGACTTCTCCTGGTTTTCCTTCTATCAAATGGTTCCTCTTCATTCTTCTCATCCAGATCATGCAATCTCCCTCTTTACTACTTCATTTGGTAATCTCATCAGCAATCACAGATTTAATTATCAAATCTATGTTGACAATTCTCAAATCAACCGATAGTGCCCTAACCTCTCTGCTGACTTGATCTTGAATCTCCAGCTGCCTTTCAGACATCTCGAACTGGATTTCCAGTAGATATTTCAAACTCAACACATCCAGAACTGAGCTCATTACCTTTCTCTTTAACTTCCCTATTACTATAGATGGAAACACAATCCTCCCAGTCCCTCAGTCTCTAAACTAGGTGTCATCCTCAACTTTTCACTATCCTTCACCCTCCAATATTTAATCTGTTGCCAAGATCTGCAGTAGATTTTACCTTTGCAACATCTCTCAAATACAACCCCTTCTCTCCTCTGACATTGCTAATACTCTGGTGCAAGCCCTCACTACCTCACACCTGCAATAGCCTGCTGGTGGGTCTGCCTTACTCAAGTGTCTCTCCTCATTTTTTTTTTGGTGAGACAATGGGGTGAAGTGACTTGCCCAGGGTCACACAGCTAGTAAGGGTCAAGTGTTTGAGGCCAGATTTGAATTCAGGTCTTCCTGAATCCAGGGCCGGTGCTCTATCCACTGTACCATCTAGCTGCCCCTTAGCGTCTCCTCATTCTCATCTGTCTTCCATTCGGCCACTAAAGTGATTTTACTAAAGCACAGGTCTGACCTGGAGGACACTCCAGTGGCTATTGCCTCCAAAATCAAATACAAAATCCTCTGTTTAGTATTCAAAGCCCTTTATAACCTAGACCTCTGCCAACCTTATTTCCTGCCCCATGCTCTTCAATTCAGTCACATTGGTCTCTTGGCTATTCCACAAAGAAGACACTCTGTTTCTTGGCTCCGATTATTTTCTCTGGTTATCCCCTATGCCTGAAATACTTTCCCTCCTCATCTGCTGACTGGTTTCCCTGGCTTCCTTTAAGTCCTAAAATTCCATTTTCTTTGTTTTTTTTTTTTGTTTGTTTTGTTTTGTTTTGGGTTTTTGCTAGGCAATGGGGTTAAGTGACTTGCCCAAGGTCACACAGCTAATAAGTGTCAAGTGTCTGGTCTGAGACCGGATTAGGTCCTCCTGACTCCAGGGCTGGTGCTCTATCCACTGCGCCACCTAGCTGCCCCTAAAATCCCATTTTCTACAAGAAGCCGTAATGTCTCTTAATTCTAGTGCCTTCTCTCTTTTAATTAATTGTCTGTACATATTGCTTGTTGACTCCTCCATTAGATTTTGACAAACTTAGTGACAGGTAATGTCTTTTGTCTCTTTTTGTATCCAGTAGGCACTTAATAAATGTTTACTGACCAAATGATATTTTGGATAGTAGCCACTACTAATCAAATCAAATGACAACATATGTAAATCTGTGAAAACCTTAAAGCACTATATAAATACTATTGTTTTTTTCCCCACTTGTGTGCCAAACTCTTCAGAATGATTATAGGTTTCACTTTAGAGATAATGCAATATTCTGGGAGTTGATACAATCAGCACAACGTCAATCACAAACAGGAACATCCTGACTTTTTCATCCAAAGGAATTCCTCTTCCACTTGGCATCTGCTCGGGATATCATTCTTGACAATGGTGAGCACCTCTGGTGAATATATTTTTTAATAAGATTATCTCTGTTCTTATGTATCTTTCAAGGAATCTTACATAATTTTGGCATATACATGGAAGACACCTTGTTTGAAGTGAGATTTAACTCCCAAGGAATCAAATGCTCTTTTATAGTCAAAAACAACAAGTACAGTTGATTCTTACATTCTCTATATCTTTCCATCAACTGTGTGACGGAAAGAAAAAGTCTATTAATAGACTATTGAGTATGAAAGTCTGCTTCTTCCCTCCTAATGCTTAAATTCAAGAACATCCTTAATGTGTGTATACATTATTCTCAATGTTATATAGCCATATAGGTCAACAGTTACTTTTGTTTCCTTTGTTGTTTCTTTTTGTGCTGTGCTCAGATTTTTTTCCCCATATCTTTTTAATTTTTCCTGTTTTTAAATACCTTGAGACTTGATCACTAAATACCCTCAAAACTATGTCAATGTCAGCATGCATCTCTTCTGTGGATAGTTTGCTTAGTCTAACTGCTTTTCCCATTTTCATTTTCTTCAGCACTATTTCCAGTTCCTCTGTAAGCACATCTGGGAATGTAATATTAGGGTCTAAACATGATAGTTCATCATACTTGATAGTAAAAAGTTTGTTACAAAAATTTCTCCTAACATTTTCCACGTATTTTTCTGTTATCCTACTTCCTAAGTTAAATACTTTTGACAATACTTTGCTTAGTTGAATCTCCACCAAACTTTCTTTAAACTGATTTCCCCTACCCTGAACTGCTTCTTGTTGTTTCATTAGGAAATATCATTCATAACTTTGCACCATTTTTCTTCATAATATCTTGACAGATGAATTTATATTCTAAACCACTATTGACTCTGGATGCCATCTCTGTCCACTTCACAAGTAAGCCAAGAGTTTGATGCCTAAGATAACTTGTCTCTTTGTTATGACAACTGCTTCTACTGATTCTAATAAATTAATCCTTTTACTTAGACATATCGGAGTGAGATTACCTACAAATATAACTGTGAATTAAAGTGATAAAGACTCAGATGTTATAAAGAATAAAAACAATAGTACATAAATTTTATAAAATTCAAAATAACTTTTTTTAAAGAATTAAAGAATTTTAAATGAAAGATCTTTATATTTTGAGAAATTTTCACCAGCTTTCTATTACTTTTATGGGTGAGTTTTGATGGTTAGTTTTAATCTACATGCAGCATTTTATAAAAAGATCCCTATTACTTACTGTTAGGACAAAATGTACAAAAAAAAGTCAATGAAGAATAATTCGAAGGGGAGGGCCAGAACTAAAAAAAAAAAAAATTAATAAAAATTTAAAATATTACATAGCTTCTGCAGGTTTTTTCTTCCAAAGAAGCATTCATAAATTAATGAACCCCAAAAGAGTACTATATAGCAAGAAAAAAAGCACAGTTCATGTTGACACAATGATTCAATTCTAAACGCTGCTGCCACTGGAAACTCTGTTGAGACAAAACTTCTCACTGTCCTCAAAAGTTACATGTAATATCAGGTTATTCTTGTGTACTATTGTTTATTTGGTAGCCTCAACACATTAATCCACATAATAAAGATCTATGTTCTATTATATTTAAATCAGGAACTCTGTTGTGTAATCTGTATATGAACATGACATCAGATTGATGAACTGGTTCCTTTGCTCCAGATAGTTCCTCTATTTATGATAAATAGGAAGAACACTCTAGCTTACTCAGTGATAACAGCTGATACTTATGTAGTACTTTAGAGTTTACAAAGTATTTTTATATACATGATCTAAGTTGATCATTATGTCACTGAATATTAAGTGGATCCTGTTTTCTAAGAACAGTCAACAGTATTTATAAATTCTGTCTTCAACAATTTTAACGTCACATTATAAGAATTGAATGGAAAACCCCACTTGTGTTCACATTTTCTACCATACAAATATATTTAAATACATGACTGCAATTTGTTAAATAAGCATGTTCATACAAGTCAATGTATGTGATGTAAGGCTGACAAGTTTCTAGGATTTGACATTCAAGGTTTCACAGAATTCTGAACACAAGAAGAAAAATGGGATGTGATAGGATAATTTTAATAATGGTATTGTATAAAATTCCATTAAGTCATTTGAGAAAGTTAGTTTGGATGTGGTTGGGTTTTTTAATTTACCTTGGTTTGCTTGGAGGAAGCTGCCGACTTGGCCGTCTTATAGACTGGTTGGGCTGCACCTTCATAGAAGTTCTAGGAGATGAACGAGCGAAAGGATCTGGAGCTGGGGGCTTTTTGGGTATTTTTTTTACCAACCGACTGACCCACTTCTGCTGGTCCTCTGTAGAATTAGCTAATAACAGCAGATTCTTTGCCGACGAAATGTCGTAGTATACTAAAATGAAATATTTCAAACAATATTTGAGTATTTTTAATCGTGAATGGTACATGCCTCTTCCACATCCCTAGATTTATTCTAACAATCTAATGGGTGGCTTCTCTACTGTCTTCTTCTTAAAGTATGTTTCGTACTACTGCCATGAAAGTCTTTTTAATGCATAAGTCTGATCATGTTATTCCATTAACTAAAAAACTATTAACCTCCCACCCCCCCTTTTGTTTTAACCAACTGCTGGGCACAGCTAAAGTTCCTTTCCTTGGTATTTAAGGCCCCTCCTCCCTCTACCCCCCCACCCCACCCCCTCATCCCCTTACATGATAGGCAGTACAATACCTTTTCATTACTTACCCTCTTCTTTGTACCGCTCCCCCACAACCCAATCCCTGCCCCCAGCCATGTTCTTTATGCTCTAGTCAAACTCATTTTCTGCATTCCCCTCTCCTTAAATGCACTATGAGCTCCAGTCTTCATGACTTTCTTTCTTTGTGCTAGTGCCTATCTCTGGAAACTTTCCTTCTACTTCCTGCTGAATTTCTAACAGTGTAACTATAAACTTGAATGGCACAACCTTTGGGAAGCCTTCCCTGATTCTCTTGGTTAGCAATAGCTTTCACTCTGGGGGTCACATAACACTGTTGTGTAGCTCTCTAATACACTTTGCATGCAATATAGTGTAGTACTGTTATTTTGAATGTCTCATCACCTTACTAGTCTCTAAGCTCTAGGAGGGAGTACCTAACTTTTTATCTCCCTCAAAGCCTAAAATACCATTCTAAAGATTCACTATAATAAATATTCAGTGAATGGATGTTTCTGTTTTTCCACATTCTCATTAAAAACCTATCAATGAGATATATCTAATTTCTATAGAACACAATTTGTTCCTTAGAGATAGCTAGTGCAAGCACATTTAGTTTCACTATTTACCTTTGCAAGGTGCTATGATTTCCTCCTTTTTGTCCATGTGGTCTTTATGGCACTTGATATGGCAGCGGCGGCACTCAAGAGCAGGGGGAGGTTTAAACATGTGCCAAAGTGGCTTCATACACGCCTCACAGTTAGTTGGGAAATGATAAAGAGTGGGAATAAATTCATGTCCTTTGTGGCAAATGCAGTTTGACTTCTCCCCAACTGGTTCCACGGGAAATTCTTGTTCTTTTTTGCTTTCGCCTTCATTAGCATACAGGATCTAGATATATTGAAAGAGAACCACATATCATTTCCAGATAAAAGCTACCCATTTGATAAAAAAGCCACATTTGGACAAGCCAAGTAAAAATTATATCAACATAAAGTATGGAATAAGAAATTACAATTTGAAGTCAAAACATGTAATTTTGTCACATCACAATAAATATTACTTGGAGGAAAGATCATTAGATTTTTATCAATCTTCATTTGGTTCAAACCTCAATAAAAGAAAATCAAAGTCTTGATACTTCAGCAGCTCCCTGTTTTTCCCTTGTCTTTCTTTTGGGATTTTTAAAAAAACTATGTTTTAGAAATTTCAACAGAAGATGAGAGAATAGAGGTATATTTCAAGCAAAGCCTCTAAATAGCTCACTATTCCACTTACAAAAATTTTTAAGTTTTGGGGAAATGATGATCAATAAACATTTACTGGTGCTACTTGTTTCATTCTTAAAAGTTACTGTAATTATGCTCTTACTTGGGTTTACAAATGGAAATGTTAGGTAAAAATAAATCTAATGATAAAAAAACCTGACAACTGAACAAGTAATATTCTTAAAAGAGGTAAGAAACACTAAGTTCACAGCAAAGAGTATGTCTTGAAATTCCAAACTCTCATTAGAAATGAAGAAGAAAAAATAATTTTAAAATCTGTTGTCAATGAGTAACAGATTCTAGTATGTCTGAAGGACCTGAAAACATCTCTGAAGACTGCTCACAAATTCTCTAAGTAGGAAGCAAAAAAAAGCAAAGACAGTGAAAAGTTTGATTACAGGCATCACATCTTACATGGCAAAAAAGGTCACATGTTACCTGGAAAATCCTTGGAATCTCTTTGGAATCAGCTCTATAAACATCTGTCTGTGTGACTGGCCGGACATGGAACAACTTGCTGTAAGAGATGTTAAGTAAAGGAATAAAATATCAGAAAAGGATAAAATTATGTCAGTTATTATTTCAAGAGACATATTACATTAACTTCATACACAATACAAGACTAGAATACATAGTACTTCACATAATTTAAACACCACTGATTGAGACTTTTATAAATTCTTCTTCCAGATTCTAAATTTCTACACTTTACTTGGTAATTCACAGTTTAGCTCCAAATACAATACATTCTTTAAAAGCTCAAAATAAAGATGAATCTTAAAATAAACAATTAAAAAAACACAACTAAATAAAGCCTAATAGATTAATAAATGAAATAAGTTAAATACATGAATAAAACCTTATACCATATACTATCACTTGTTTAAATAATGTCCCCAAGGTATACAAAAAAACAACAATGGTTACATTCTACAGTGTATAATACCACATTCCCAAATGTGATGCTGGCATCAGTTTGTTCAATGAATAGGAAAATATATATCAACTACTCAAAAAAACCCCATCTTAATTTAATATGTAAAGAAAATTTATATTTACTAACCATCCTGTGTTAAAATACTTACTCTATATCTAACACCATGTAAGGATTAGACTGTTCTTTATCTTGTTCACTATCATAGAAAAGAATCTTCTTGCTGCTTACAATCACATACTGTTAAGGGAAAAATAGCTGAATATTAAGGTTCATGTTATTAAAGCCTTTGTTTCAATTACTCTTTTTTTGCAAGCATATAAAATTCTTGTACAGCAATAAAAATCAATGCTAGCACACAAAATAAAATGGAATTAACAGGATGTACTGAGGGGACTTTAGTAAAAATGTTATTATTTAAAGCAATAGTTGATGATTTTTACTTGAAATGCTTTTCAAAAGGACATCATCTCATAGTATGATAGAGATCCTTCTAAAATAAGATGGGGTTCTAAAGTAGAATATACTGAAACTAGCATAAGAATAAAGGGAATGCTTGATAATCCTCAGATACGCTTTCTTTAAATGAATCTTAAAATAAATCGACTAAACAGCACTGCGTGTTTTTGTTTTTTTTGCTTTTTGGTGAGGCAATTGGAGTTAAGTGATTTGCCCAGGGTCACACAGCTAGTAAGTATCAAGTGTCTGAAGCCAAATTTGAACTCAGGTTCTCCTGACTTCAAGGCCGGAGCTCTATCTACTGTGCCACCTAGCTGCTCCCTAATAGCACTGTTTCTTGAGCACTAAAGTTAATTCAAGGCTATCGAATTTATCAATGATATTACATAATCAAATAATCAGAACCTATAAACATGTCATAATCAAATCTAGTAGTGGTAAATAATAGGATGGGGAAGAAATAATCTAAACTTAACCTTTTGCTAACATTTTATTTCCTCGTTCTTCCAAAAAAATAATAAATAAAACAAAATTGAAATTCAAACTCTCATTAGACATGAAAAAGACAAAACAGTTTTAAAATCTGTTGCCAATGAGTAACAGATTCTAGTATGTCTGAAGACCTAAGAACATCTCTGAAGATGGCTCACAAACTCTCTAAGTAGGAAGCAGAAAAAGCAAAGACAGTGAAAAGTTTGATCACAGGCATGGTATGTCCTGAGGAGGATGTGGCAAAAAAGGCCACGTTTTCAAGTAAAAGACCATCTAAGTGTCATACGGAAGATTTTGTTCAATGATCTAATCTAAAAGGATTTAAGCTAATTTGGCATGCTCAATGACTGTGGTCCCTTTCTCAGACACTGTACAATCCCATTTGCTACAACCCTGTTTTGCAATCAACACAAATATTTTTTTCTGATTAGCAGCTAATATATGAAGTTTCTTACACATCTATATAAGTACTATGGACCAGATTTCTCACTTCCAAGATCTGGACCAAAAACCCATAGCTAAAGCAAAATCCAAAGATTATGTAAAATGTGCAATAGTCCAATAAACTATTTCTGGGAAAATAATGCTACAGCTTCTAACCATATAGTACTAAATTACCTTTTTAACCCATCCAAACTTCTTAGTGTTGTTTCGTACAGGCAACGAAAGCCATCCCTCTAATCTTGATTCTGCAAACAAGTAAAGGAATTATAATTGAAATAACAAATATTTTCTCAGTTTTGTTGGTACATGATCTTCATCTAGATATTATGGAGCAATACTAATCTGTTCCTCAATGTTTATCATTACAGTTATCTAAGTCCACAAATCCTATAGTTCTTTTACTCAGGCAAAATGCCCCATTGATAGGACTTGTATAAAACACACATTTATGATCTTGAAAAGGCAGTAGCAAACTAGTAACTCTAGTTGTATTTCGATAGCACATCTCCTTAAGAAATACCTATCATGTTGGAAATATTTCACTTTAATTGTAATAGAAATTTCCTTTAAAGACAATGCACTTTTAAAAATAGAAACATTTATGAGCAAAAAGGTACAAACATTGTACTTTTAGAAAGTTTACATGAAAATTAAAAAAGGAAGTTACAAATTACAAATCAAATGCTGCTATAACATAGGACAAAAATCTCACTATAAATCAAGTTGATAAACTTATTTTAAGTAATACTTAATAACTAACAAAATTCCAGTTCAATAGCAGAACTTAGATAATTTCTTGTAATTTACTGGATTTGGTCTGTATTTCCAAAAGTGCCATTCATAATCTTTTTTTCTTAAATGGGAAATGACAATAGTATAGAGATTTCATAGAATATGCCGCCAGATGCAGTTCTAAAAGGAAATACTATCATAAAAATCAAGATATAGTTTTAATTCTCTGATATTATTTAGACTTGGTCACTTAATGAGACAAAGAGGTTGCCTCACCAGATAACCTTATGATTCCAGAATTTAATGTAAGATTAATAATATCTCACTTTAAATCAAAGCTGGTACCTTAAAATGACATTTTCTTATGTTTTACCCTGATTATCTTAATTAGGGAAGAGGACCTAAAAATACACAACCTATTATGAGAAAATGAAAGAATAAATATGTTTCACTGCAGCTATTTCACTTTATAGTCTTCATTTAAAATGACCAAAAATTGAACTCTCACAGCTATGACTACTATATAGTTTTGTACTCAATCACACACTGCCGCCTTGGATTAAAAAAAAAAAATATATATATATATATATATACACACACATACATACACATATATGTATGTATATTTATTATGTGTTTATGCAATCCTCCACTCAAGTCCTGCTTCAATGTCTTACTTACCTTGTGGAGATTCTAGGTTCATGAAGATTATAACACTAAAGTATGAACTTCAGGGGTATGAGCTTCAGAAGTCCTACCTAGCAATCTGGAAAGGTTTCTAGTACAGCCTAGTGATGGAATGTGTGTCTTTTATCTAAAGACTCATACATCTATGTTGAGAAAGGCTGATGACCAGAGGATTAAAGTCATTAGGTGAGAAATGTTTTTCTTTAGCAGAGCAACTCATAAAACTACCTACCAAGGCACATGATCCGTATGTGTGGATAGAATATACCTTTAACTATGGAACCTTAAAATACTAAAATGTTGATCTCCCCACTGAGATTGTAAGCTCTTTTAGGACACAGATTACATATTAATTCTTTCATATTCTTCATAGTATCCAGTCCCACTATGCTGAGGGTGTAAGTACTGAATATACTTATTATGTGCTTTTGTTGTTTTATATCTTTAAATCATGATCAAACTTTAACATTCACATTCATTTGCCTGAAAATAGCTCACAGCAGAGAAATCCTAGGAGCTTTGAAGCCATGCCAGTTTCCCACTTCTCTTGCATAATTAATATAATCCAGTTTCCGCACTATAATAAGTTTGCAAACTAATTGAGTTTTAAAATCTATTATATAATCAATGGGTTAGAAAAATATTTAGATAACAATTCTCTGTCCATGTGGCATTTTCACTAGGTCTAATGAAAGTCATAAGAGTTAGTGGATATAGCAATAAAATGTTAGGAAAACTTTTCAAAAGGAATGATGTTAGAAGAGGGAGGAAAACAATCCATGAGTGAAATGGTTTTCAGGATGTCACCTGCACTATCAGGTTCCGAAGAAATGGGTGTACAAGATAAGGATTCTTCCTCTGAGTCAGAATCAGAGTCGAGAAGCATGTGAGAACTGGAAGGCTTAGTAGCAATATTGAGAGAGGTAGAAGAACGTTGATAGGTGAAAGACATGGACTCCATAGTACGTGACTGAGTGATATGGACTAAATACCCAACATAAAAGAATGGAAAAGTGGAAAAAAAAAAAGTTAACAGAAAAATTAGACATAGAACGGCTTTTAAAAATTAGTTATTACATTATATGATGAGCTACTAAAACAAATGTGAAAGTAAATTAGTTTTCTTTTTTAAAGCATTATGAGAAGTAAAAAAAAATTAAAAGATGAAGAATGTTAAAACCAAGATACATGTTTTCCCACATATACATATTTACTGGCATTTACACCTATATGAAAGAAAAAATCTGTCATAGGCCTTGAGATAATCAATTACACGATTTTGATTCTGGGCCAGAAACCTTTTTATAAAAATAATTAAAAGTGCTGAAAACAAACCTGTACCTGGGAACCCATCATCTGCCTCAGCTTCCCCTGGTCCACTGCCTATACTGGAACTATCCAGACCAATGTGTAAGGCCTGGAGCTGTGATCGAAGCTGTTCAATGTCACTATCTTTACTGTCCAGAGTCATTTGCAGTTCAATTCGAATTTGGCTTTCTTCAGCTATTTGCTGTAAAATAAAAAATATTTTTTGCTTAAAGTTAAACTTAGTAGATGGTGGCTCCACAGGAGATGAGGCTGGCGACTCTGCACAGCTCTCCTTCACTTAAATCCAAATCGCATGCATGTCAGGCATCTCCTCCCTGATGTCATGGTTCTCTTTGAGAACAATGGACAAACAACAAGATAATGCCTGCAGCACACAGGTTAAGTGACTTGGCCAGTGTCTTAGAGTAAACGGAGAGGGGGAAAGGAATATTTGAACTTAGTATTCTATTCACTATGATTCACTGCCTCTAGGTGTATATATGTAACTCATCAAATTAGTCTACTTATTCTTCAAGTAACATTTTTCTGAAACAAGCTAGTAATGAAAAATAAAATACATAAAAATTTCTAAAGTGCCATTCAAGCACCAAAAAAGTTTACAAAAAAAGGATTCTTACAGCTTGCATTTCATTCAATTCTTTTTGATATTTGATCATCTGTTGAGTTAACTTTTCACGTTCTGATTTAAGTTCCATATGTAGTTTTCTGTTCTCTTTCTCTTTCCTCCTCACATCTGTGTCAGCACCACGCCGGAGAGGTTCTTTTCGATTCATAATCTCAGCCAATTTATTCACAGCCTAGAAGAAACAAAAAATAAAACTGTTTACTGCCTGTTGTTTTCCCTACATCCCATCATTTGCCATGTTGCAAATACCTGTAACCACATAATAGACCACAAAATACTATCTACAGCTTTTTAATAGATGCCCCTGTTCTTCGGTCACTTTAAGTACAGGAACTTGTAAGTATCAATCACATTCATTAATTCTCCATTACCTCCCAACCAAAACCCTATTGCTGTCCCTTAGAGTTTTCTAAGAGTTCTAGAGTTTACTGTTTGAAGACAGGACTGGTTCCATTTGCCTTCTTGCCTCTTTCAATTCTTACATCTCAAATAGTTCTACAACAGAAAAATCTCCATTTTCCTTCATGAAAGAGGAAGTTTTGTTGGAAACTCATTAGCACTATCAACTTGAGAGCATGTAGAATGGCCAATAACCTAAGTGAGCTAAGTTTGACTACGTAAACTGAGTCATTCAACAACTGAACTGCCCTGAAGCAAGTCACTTGATGTCTCAAGACTGGTTTTCTCCACTATGAAATGAAGATGAAGATTGAGATGATCTCTAAAGTTCCAGTTTTAAATCTTCTGTGAAAAACACTTTCTTTGAAATACAAAGACAATTCCCCCACGCCGGCTAAAGTCATTATAGAAAAAGTTAAATCTGAGTTTGCAATAAAAAACTTAGATATGGGGAAGAGGATAGCAACAAATTAAATACAGCTATGTCATAAACAGCATATTGGAAATAACCTCTACACCAAACTGAGCCTTTATTAATTAAAAACTTATAAAAATAAAAATTAGGAATAGAACCTTCATCTCCCACAAAAAAAAATTTTCAGAACTTTATGCTTGAATGAAGCCAATTTATAATGGACCTATAATGCAGAATATAAATATAAAAAATTAACATAAAATGGACAAACACCCAGAATATATTTATATTTTCTATTACACTTACCTGAGTTTTTAGTGTTCTCTCATTTAATAGTTGTTTCTCAAATTGTGTTTTAATAACTGATATATTTGTTTCTTCATCTTTCAACTTTGCCATTTCTGTAATTTAAAAAAAAATGCAGTTTGCTTATAAAAATAAAACAAACCCTTAAGCAGATTAAAATATATCTTTTATTTTTAGTCAATACATACGCTCTTGGACTTCCTTGACTTTATTATTCAGTTCTTCTTTCTCATTTGCCAGATTAGCCACATCACTAGTTAGTGTCCTATTAGCCTCCTCAAGCTAGGAAATGAAAAGAAAAATAAAGCAAAATTCCTTAAGCTCTGGTTAACTGTTTAAAAACTTTTAGTTTGTCACTTCCCTCCTTTCCTGCCTTTGGTGTTACCTTCTGGAAATGCATTTTCAGCCCTCATTGGTCTGTTTCCACTGAAAATGCTACTACCCAAATGATTTCTTTTTCTTATTAATATGCATGTTACAAGCTAAAGAAGATTCACCCAGATCTAAGAATTATACAGGTTTTGGAAATGAAATCATGTGACTTCTGACTTCAAGTAAGCTTCTTGGAGGGGGGGGAAGACAGCAGCCACATGAGTTAGATCATTTTCTCAGATCTCAGAAGCACTTTGAAAAAAATATAAGTATTGAGAACCATAATCCTCAACCTCGTGGGTACCAAATAAAAATTCTGACTTTATCTTTTAAGTCTAGCACTATTCAGATTGTATGTATAAAATTTCTCCTGCTTGTAATTATTCGCTTTTTTTCATACATTTTCTTAAAATATTTTATGGGGTCACAAAAAATTAGACACAACTGAAAGTGACTAAAGAAACAACAAAAATGTTTTACTCCTTAATCTTCTATTCTCCATCTATGCTTCTTCCTTATATCTTTAATAAATATGAGATATCAAAGCCCCTCTCTTTTATGAAATTCAATGTCAAATACATTGTCAATGATAACGTGACTTAGCAACAATAACATTAAAAAAACAAATTGGCGTATATATGGAAATGTTTCCACTTTGTAGCAAGTAGTGCAAGGGCAATAAATGAACATTATTCAGAAGAATTTGATAGATTAGGTTCTAAACTTCACTGAACATTAACAAAAATAGCTACTTTGCTTTAATAAAATAATTTATTTTTATTTTCATTCTGGTAATACCAAAGCCCTAAGAAAGGATGAAGGAAAAAAAAAATTTTGATTTACCTATAAGGTGGTTCAGTTTTACTTGGTTTTTTCTAACATTCTCACCTTAGTACAGCTAGCTTAAGGGTTCTTTTCAAAAGGTGCTTAAAAAAAAATAAACATAGAAATCTCTCTACTTCATAAGGATAATATGCCTCACTTACATAGTACTTTGTGATTTACACAGTGCTTCCCTCCATGTTTTTACTAAGAGTTAAATAAGTTCAAGATTTTAATACTAGTATTTGCTTAGAATAGTAAAATTTCTCTGGAAAAGATTTATCATAGAATAATACAAATTTTACTGAATTAAAATTGTAAAAGAGATAATTTACTTACAGATGCTATTGTAGCATCTTTTTCTGCAAGTTCTTGTTTGTGTCGAGCCATCATCTCTTTAATTTCCAGTTCTTTCATGATCTTCTCTTTTTCCAAATCAGAGTACTGTTCTTCAGCAATAGAACGGGCTAGCTGCTCTGAATCAGCTTTTGTCAAGGTGATCTCAAGTTGTGCAGCCAGGGAGTCCCTGTATTTTTACAGATAAAGCAATTTAGTACAAACATTTCTGTTGCTTCTGACTAGCACAGTGCCTGGCACATAGTAGGTGTGTATTAAATGCTCGCTAAGTGACTGTGAATTCAGCTTTGGCTTAGTTTTCTTTTGTGCTGCAACTTGTCTTGTTGGAAAACAGAATTTAATCCTCACCTCTCATCCTGTAATTCCTGGCTCTTCTGCTGCATTTCTTTGCAAAGCTTGGTCTTCTCTTGACATTCTTCTTTAAGCTCTCGAACTTGTGTTTTATAGAGAGTCTGAATTTCAAAATATAAGAACAAAATGTAAAAAACCATCATTACTGTCACAAAGAATGGGACTTAGACTACTGGTTTTAGGATGACTCAAGATGTCCTTGTTCTCCTTGTGGCAAAAAAAAAAAAATAAAAAAAATAAAAAGGCTAACAGTATCCTTTCTAGGGACCTAGAAATGGTCTACAGAGCCATGATTTAGCAAATTGTCCCTCAGGAGATACCTATGTCACATAGGCCAAAGATCATAGCAAAAAACTTTTCATGGATAAAAAGACCATTTTATATTTATTTTATGTTTATATTTCTGGGTACTTGACTGAGAATGGAAGGTGATCAGTGAATGTAGTTAGATGGGTCTTGTCTAATGGAGATATTCTGAAGTACTAAAAAGTAGAATTAGTAACAATGGGTGAAAGTTGCAGGGGCAGATTGTGGCTTCAGATTAGGAAAAATTTTGTAACATTAAAACTGTCTAAAAGTAAAATAGGTAGACTCTGGAATCACTGGGTTCCCTATAACTTGAAAGTCTTGAAGTGAAGACTAGATGACTACTTGTTATAAAGGAATTCTTGTTCAAGTATGGGTTGGATTGACTTTTGAATTTCTTTCCAACTGTAAAATACTATGTTTTTATGATTTCTGAATTAAATACTTATTCAAATAAAAAGTCAATGTACATATAAAGCATTTCATTGATCTTTATTTCCTAAAGAAGTAACTTCAAACAATGAATAGTTACAAGGTCTTAAAAACTGGGAGATGCTTTTAAACTTACCTAGTCCTATATGAAATTTTCATTAGTTTTATCCCCTTACTAAAGATCAATTGTTTGATTTTATTACGATTCACTAAGCTTGAGATGTGACTACATCTGAATGTCTCAGGGAAGTTTCAAAGAGGTCTCTACTAGAGAGACAAGTATGTTAGGGAAGGTCATACCATGAAGAGGAAAGACCAAGAATTTTGCTAGTTAGTGGTATATTTGTACCACAGATACTTTTATTTATAATACAAAAACAGATAGAAAAATTACATACCACCAATTAACTTTTCTTGTTAAATATCCATTCCCTCATTATAAAAACAAACTTTTCATACTCTACAAAAATATCATTACTGGCCCATTATTAATAGGATATGTGCCTACAGCTCTTCAATACCTTTCTACCAAGTAACTGATATTATAAACTTTTTCATAAAAAAAAAACAACTTTCAATAACTACATTACTCCTATGTTAATGATAGTGATTTCCCCACCTTAACTTGTAGGATAATAAGCTACATAAAATAAAATTTTGGTCTGGTAAAAAAGTTTTTAACTTAAATCTACGGGAATGACTTATTCTATAGGTATCAACTGTATCCTCTAGTTTCATAGAAAAGAATAAAAAGTCCTACCAACCAAAAATGAGATAGCTTTGCAATGAAAGTATTTGGTACCTACTGAGAAATATTGTTCTGCTTCGAGCTGATCTTGGAGCTCTTTCATTTGTCCATCTGCATCTTGTCGTTCTCTATTAGAACATTAATTCATAAATTCAGGTTATCTATATTCAATAACACTTATACCCACAACACATAGCAATACGGTCACAGGAGAGATTATCTAATTCAGCTCTCTCATTTTAGAAGGAAAACAGATCTAGAGAGGTGAAATGAATTGACTTAGGCCCCATAATTAATTCGTGGTAGTATCTCATAGGAGGCCAATAATGCAAAAGATAAATTACAATCTAATAATTTAGTTTTAACCATCTAAATGAGAAGCTAGAAGAAAATGATGCAGTCATTCATCAACTCTCATTCTGACGAATTAGTGGGGAGCCTAACATTATACAGAGTTCCAGTTCTGCTACTCAATAGCCAGGTGACTTTAGAGAAGCCTTAGTTCAGCTTGTCCCTCCACAGCCTGGCAATTCTACCTTCAGAGGCAGTGTGAGGTGGTAGACGACTAGCAAGCTGTTGGTTAGGAGATATATGTTCAAGTCCTACTTTGAGGCCATGTTTAACCACTCGCTTCTTAGTGCCTCAGGTAACTTTTTAAGATTCTAAGTTGCAGAGAAGGTGCATATTTGCATTGGCAAAAGACATTCCTAACCAAAAACTTACTACACTGATAAAATCCAAAGTCTATTAAAAAACACACCATAATACTTGTACTACATATACCTGAAAGGGTCGTAAGTAATAAAACTTCATAAATCTTAAAGCACTAAATTAATGAAAAGCAATGACACCTCCTAAGTGTAATTTAGATGAACATGCACTGATTTTTTCTCTATTATATTTTAAAATGTTATGTGTGCTTTTGCATTACTTTTTGGTGGGGGGGGGGGGGATGGAGACTTGCCCAAGGTCACACAGCTGGGAAATGTCAAGTCTCAGACCGGATTTGAACTCAGGTCCTGCTGAATCCAATGCCAGTGCTCTATCCACTGTACCCCTAGTTGCCCCTTTTTGTATTACTTTTAAAACCTAAAGAAATAGACTGATTGAACTATTGCCAATGACTAGAGGAAAAAAATCACTAATTTCTTTCAAATGAAACTGACAAACTACCTTAATTGTTCTGTTATTTTAGTAAAAATTACTGAAAAAATACTTATCTTTATTTTGAAAATAAAAATCTACTAGAGCTGGCCAATCACTGTTGAGTCAAATGGAGTTAAACTGGTTATATTATCCCCAATTATAGTACACAGAAAATTCTTAGGAAACTAGGTTCTAAATTTCTATTCATTTCTGTGAAACCTATATAAAATAGGATTTTCAAACTTGTTCCATTTAAATTCTCTGTATAAAGTATTCTACAATCATGAAAATCCTCCTTCTCACTTGCTCTACTGGTGCAAGAATATCCTGTATTTTAAGGATAATCCATGAATGGAAAATTGAGCACTGGTTACTTAAGGGGTGCCAAAATTTACTTACTTCCGAAGTTCGATATTTTGCTTTTCCAGACTCATTTTGATTTCCATGAGATGATTATTTTCTTGTTTCATTTGTTTTTCAGACATTTTCAGTGTGTTGACTTGTTGTGTCTGCATCTTCAGGTCATTTTGTGTGAGGCAGCGCTTTTGAGTTTCTTGCTCTATTTTTAAGGTCAAGTTCCTGACCTAAAAAACACATTTTTCCCACCTTGGTATATTAGATAAATATAAATTAAGTTCCTTGCTAAATAAAGATGACACATGACAAAGAACAGAGATTTTCCTCTTAGATAGTTTTTAACTAGATATTTAATGTTAAAATTATTTTTATATTTCTGAGAATTCTGGGGAAAAAAGTTTTTCTCCCAAAATGAAAGATCTTACAGTCAATTATTGATTTAAAAGGAAACTGGAAACGATAATGACTAGCAGATAAGCAACATTTAAAGAGACCTTCAAGGCTTATAACACACTTTCTTTATAGTAATCCCATTAGGTAAGTAGCATATTATCTTATTGACTCTGCAAACAGGAAACAAGCCAGGAAAAGAAAAGTGACTTGCTTGAAGCCAGAGAACTACTAAGTGACAGAGGCAAGACGTAAACCTAGGTCTTCTGACCCACTTGCTTTCCATTCTACCATGTAGCTTCTCAACATACAGAAGCATTTAAGATGTACAGTATTATACCACAATATACTATCAATTTATAAAGCATATACAATCAGAGGGATTATTTCAAATCTATAAATAAATTTAACACTGATCTTTATAAAATTCCTTCTTACATCCTCATTTAGTTTGTCCTTCTGTTTCAAGAGTTCGTTGACTTTCTGTTGGGACTGTTTGAGGTCGCAGTCTAACATTGAACATCTTTTTTCAGCTTCCAACAGAAGGTTTTCCACCTTTTGTTTTAAAGTTCTTTCCTCTACGAGTTTCTTCTCCATTTCTATCGGAGTATGGGAAGGGAGAGGAATGGAAAAAAATTGTTACAATACTGAATTAATGTGAGCAAAATGGAAGGATGTCAAATAGAATCTAAAAGAAAAAAAGGCTAAACCTCCCTAATTCACTTAGGCTTGCACTGCAGGGGGCTGTTGACAGGCCTGAGCTCTCATCTGTTCTGTTTCTGACTGGAGTTGGTTCTCCTCTCTCTAGCCAACCCTGCTCCTGATGGCCACTATCAAGTGCAGACTCCCGAATGCCTTATTAGATCATTGTAGTTCAGAACTCTCAGATTTCAGAAATCTGCCAGTTTGATCCTCCTTGTAGCACAGATCACACACATGTAGCACCATACTCAGCAGAGAGATTTTACTTTAATTTTACACAAAATTTTACATAAAGGCAATAGTCTAAAAACTATTAATTTCCACTTTTCAAAAGGTATTCTTATCTGGCTATTCAATTTCCAAATATTTAAAATTTTCCTTGACTTTCTAGTTCATACAATCAGAAATCATAAAAGTTTTGGTTTATTCTAATAATCATTCAATTCTGTAGGAACAAGCAACTAAGAATTCTGTTTGTCTAAGGCTACAGTTTTATAAGATGATTTAAACAACTCTTTAAACACAGGTTTCCAACATTCTAACATCCCTAATTGCTAGAAAAAAAGAATAGGTTATTTGTTGGTAGCTCCCAACTCCCCCCCCTTTTGGTCTTAAAGCACCCCTATGCTTGTTATACAATTTCTATTACCTACTTTTACAGAGAGCTCTTTCCTACTACTCAAAAAATATTTTAACATAAAAATCTTTTATGGCTTGCACAGAAGTCAGAAGCAACATAAATGAGGTCATATTTTGATGTTTATTTTTTTTTGGTGAGGAAATTGGTGTTCAGTGACTTGCCCAGTCACACAGCTAGTGAGTGTTATGTGTCTGAGGTCACATTTGAACACAAGTCCTTCTGACTCCAGGGCCGGTGCTTTATCCACTGCACCACCTAGCTGCCCCCTCTTGAGGTTTATCTTGACTATAACTTGTCTGCCCTCATAACCACATTGATCCTTTATGTATGATATAACATGAAACATGAGATTGCTGGAAGACTACCTTAAACAAGATAGTTCCTACTTAGTAAAATTACATGTAGTATTAGAGGAAGGAACTGTATTCATCTGATTCATGATTCAAGCCAAAATGAAGGCAGATTAAGTTGTGTTTCTCTAGACTGAGCTTCATTCTACTCTAGATATGTACATAGAAATCCACACCTATCACTTGCATTATTCTTGAGAAAACTTCATCTTCATCTAAACATGACAATGCAGAAGTTTGCTTCATCACCTTCTCCTGAGCCACAGCAGGGATATATAGGTTATATTAGTTAGAAATTTCTTCAATTATCATGCCTAGCTGGTACTTAGGATAGGCATGGCTACTTCTTCTGTGGACAGCAACATTTACATTCTTTTGCACTAGATATTTTATAATAAAATACAATATTAAAGTCAAAATGGTGATGTATATAAGTCAGTCCACCTCTCATTTCTGAATACCCAGGTTTTAAACCAGCTTTAAATGGAAATTATCTTTGGTAATACACACAGAAGACATTGTGTTTTCAAACCCTAATGTTGCACTTTAATATGAAATACCATAACTGCACATATGATAATGAAAGAGGAAGGATTATCCACACTCATTCTAAAAATGTTTTCTCAATGCTCTCGTTTTTGCCTTCAAAATGTTGGCTTTAATTAATATACTGGGGTTTGCTTGCTATCTTTTCTTGATCAGAGGTCTTAATAAAGAAGTTAATTTTGTCTGGTATTCAGCACTGAATGAAAGTTGTTCTGTAACTAAATCTGGTGGAAATCTTTGTCATGCCAGAATTTAAATTATAAAGTGAGATCTGGTATACTAGATGGGCTTGTTATTTTTAATCTTTCTCTTATATAATTCTGGAATCTTATGGCTCAATATTTTTCAATGATCCTAATAAAACGCCAAACTATTCTAAATGAAAATGAACTATATTCAGTTCCTCTTCCTAATACTGATTATGGGAACTACAAAGTAACATAGTTTCAATGATAATTTGAAAAGGCTTAGTTTGTAGATCCATCCGGTATTAATTTTGCCTGTGAATATTTGTCTTCGATTAACCAATGACTCTTCTAAATTTCTCCAATGTGTCTCCTTAATCCCTTATTCTCAAGATCCTCTTAAAATCTCAGTCACCATCCCTTATTTATTTGTCAATCCTTTAGGTGTTTTTTTTTTCTAAACCAACATTTAATTTTTATACAACAGCATCCCCAGATGCAGTAAAATAGTAGGGAGAAATCACTATATTTGAACTTAATATCTTTTGATAGATTGAATTACAACATCCAAATATAATCACACCAATTACCCAAATGAAGAAAAAATGTGGAACTATCACTCCAAAATACACCCTTAACTAGAGCAAGTTAAATAATTATTTAAATATATATTTATAATTCAACAAATATCAGAATTTCAGATACCCAAATCCTTGTCCAAAAGCACAAGGATACACAACACAAAACTATTCCTACTCAACAATAATTCACAAGTGTTTTTATCTAGATCTAGGATTTCATTATTGTAAGGAGCTTCAGGTGAGGAAATTTCCTCTACCCAACACAGATCAGAAATTATTTTTGCAATTTATATTCTTAGTAGCTGGGAGGGGAAGAGAGAGAAGATAATACATTATAAACAAACTCCACTATGTCATTTGGCCATTTGGCCAAAATACAATGGCTGGCAATGAACTAAACTAGTGCTTACACTTCAGTAGCATTAATTCTCCTAAGCAAGAATAGCCACATCAACACCTTATGGTAATTATATACATGCATAAATATGGTTTCTATGGAACAAAATATACCATGCAACTTTGTTTCATCTCATATTGTGTTTCCTAAGGCCCAATTAGATGCAATAGCAAAGTATATTTACTGAACTACTGTGCTATAGGAAGAGGCTATGATGGGCACATTGAACACTACTAAGAATAAACAAACATTTGAATCGCAATGCTAGGAGGAAACTCCAGAAGTTATTGAACTGACTCTAATATCAGAGTAAGAATCCTAAATAAAAACAGTATGGCTCATAATAACTTTAAGAAAAATAAGTAAACAGTAAATAATATAATACCTTCATTCTGCCAAAAGAGAATTACCAATGAGAATATAAAGTATATAGGTTTATGGTCTAGCAATTCACATTCTGTAAAAACTTAAACTCTCTTTAAGAGCTAAAGATCTAAATGTTTTTGTTTTTTAAGTTATTAATACACATTTTTAAAAAGAAAAAAGCTGTTGTAAATAGATTTTTTTCAGCATAAAAACTTTTAGTAGATTATTATAAAATACAGAAATATTTTCAGATCACAAAACTTGATTTTTTCTTTTCTTTTCAGGAGGGGAAGTAGGGGGGAGAGAGGCGAAGTTGGAAGGCATCCTGGAGTAAAATACATACCTTTCATAGCTTCAGACTTGGCCTCCTCAATAGATTCATATATCTTATTCTTATCTGCTAACCGTGCTTTTGTAGCTTTATGCTCTGCTTCTTCCTGTTCCAAGCTCTGCTGTATAACTTTCAGTTTGTATGTCATATCTATTTCCATGTTACTTTTTTCCTGTTAAAGAACATTTCAAATGAACATTCTAAATGAAAAATTAATGGGAAGGGGAAAGGGAAGAGAATAAGCATTTATTAAGTGCCTACAATGTGCCAGGCACTGTATGAAGTACTTTACAAATATCTTACTTGAGATAATCATCTCATTCAAGGTAATTCATGGACCTACAGTTTACAAACAGGTTTTTTGAAGCAGGGTATTTTTTTTTAAAGTAAGATAAAAGTGAGCTAGATTTAATGCAGAACAAAATATAAGTTTAACTATCCAATTCCTATATATCACGGGTATGACTTAGTGCTTTGTCATGTTTCATCGCTTCAAACAATGAATAACAATTCCACCCCAATAACACCTTACATCATAGAGTGGTTAACAGTTTTCAGAGTGTTTCCATAAAAATTATCTTATCTGATCTCCTAACTGCACTGTGAAGTAAGAAGGATAATTATTATGATCTCCATGTTGCAAATGATAAAATTAAGGCCCAGAGAGGTTAAGTGAACTATCCAAACAAAACAGTGGCATAGTCAGAAGCACTAGGATCTCTCTTAAGAGATCTTAAGCACTCTTTTCACTGAATCAGAATGTTACTTTAAAGGATAATTTGTAAATGATGAGAAAAGTTATAAATCCAGATGTTATATTTCCTTTAACTTACAAAAATACCCTCCAAAGAGGTCTACTTTCACTACTTCTGTGTAAGTCACAGGATCGAGGTACAAATGCTGGCTCTGGTACTTCACTTTTGTGACTGTGGGCAAGTTACCTAACCTAAGTCTCAGCTTTCACCTGTACAAAATAAAGGGAAAACTCAAGAGTCCCTTCCAACTTTAAACCCCATAACCTAAACATGATAAGTGTTTCAAGTTTTTGCATAGGGTCCTCTCATCAAATAAAGATTATCCCTTAAAACATCTTCATTTTCCATTCCCTGTGAAATTCTCTATTTTGGGAGGATTCTAATAACTGTAAAGACTACCTGAGCAATATGATTATTACAAGAGACACATCAACCATCCATTTGCCCAACTGAATTATCATGTAACACAATCAGCTACTTGTTTCCCTGTACTTTGGACAAATATCCTCCACTTTCATCTTCTTTACTACATTCTTATAAAAAATGTCCACAATCTCATCCATCTCAAACCTTAGAAGATTCCATGAAATATAAAATTTGTTCTATTTTAAAACCATTACCTACCTTTTCTAAATCTGTAAATCTCTCCTGTAGTTGTCTCTTCTCTAACTCCATTTTTGCTAATGAAATTTTACCATTTTTAATATCTTCTTCCAAACCAGATATTCTACCTAAAAAGGAAAAATTACTTACTTAAATAAATGATCCCATGAGGTAATATTCAACCAAGTAGCAAGTTTGAGAATATGAAATATATTATACTTAAATTTTATTATTTTAAAAACTTATATGTGTGTCTATGTGCACTTACAGAATATGAATTTTGAAACTTTATGAATAGAGCTCTTGATTGAACTAGGTAGCCCCATAACTCATTAAAAATACTTCAAACTACTGAAGAATTAAATTTTCCTTCTGGAGTATCTTGAATAAGTCACACATTCTAAATTTTAGATTCGATGCAACAGCCATTAAAGAAAAAATTACTTTAAAAACTGGCCAAAAAAGATTTATTATCTAAAACTATCAATAAAACTTGAGTCACTACACTTAATTCAATATGCCTCAATCTTTACACCATAACAATACCTTGTAAATCATTAATCATCTCTGATCCATGGGTTCTATCTCTCCTTTCAGATTCTAGAGCTGACTGAAGATTGATGAAGTCCTTTTCAAGTTTCAGTTTAGCATTTTCTAGCATGCAATTTTTGTCTTGTAGCTCCCTATTATTAGATTCCAGCTGCTGAATTTGTTTTGAACTTTCTGTCTGGTTTTTCCGTAACCTGGCCGCAGTATCAGACTCGGTTCGCAGCAAAGCATTGACTTCATCCAACTATTGATTCATAAAACAAAAACAAACACATCATTTCCATTGCAAAAAAAAAAAAAAAAAAAAGGACCTAAATTAAAAGAAAAAAAATTGGAAAACATTTGATAGGAATTTTTAAAAGGCATGTAAAATAAATATCTAAGCTTATATCAAGGACTTGGAATTTTATTTAGAATAGGTACAGCTCCTATCCAGGAAGATGAAAATTCCAACACAGCTTGGTAGACAATATTTGTGAGTTACTATGGCTGAAAAACTCATTATGTTGGCATCTTGAAATCAATCTTGTGATAAATATTTCTAAACTCATTTAGACTGCTCCTATGACAATAGACATATATAATCTAACATTAGGCCCACACTTATCAAAACAGCCTAAGTTCCTGATCTTTAGTCGCTTTCTACTTCAATCTACCATATAAATCACCAGTGAAGTGATCTTATCTTGATCATAACACTTAATAGAGCACAAACTTCCATTTCCTATAAGATAAATCACATACTCTTTAGCCTACCCATTAAAGCTATTTATAAAAATTCTGGCAACAGCTTAACTCCCAGCCATATGTTAAAACTAGACTTATTTTCAGTTCCCAAAATATCTCTCAAATTTATTATGCTGTATAATGGTTATTTTTATACATGGTCCATCTCTTCAAGCAGACTTTAACATCTTTGAAGGCAAGGACCATGTTACTCATCTCTATATCTTCCAGGGCACAGGACAATATCTTACATAAGTATCAATACATTCTAATTTAATATCATTACCATGAATTCAGCATAGCTTACTTGTCTCTGGAGCTGACTGACTTTTTCATTAGATATTTGAGAGTTTTGATTTCTTTTTTTCAAATCTTCAAGCTGATCTTTCAAGCTGTTAACTGAAATAAAAAGGCATTTCAATGGGAAAGTTTAACATACCACTTTAAATGTTTACCGACGGCAGAGGAATATTAAAGTGAACTTAATTTTTAAAAATCATTTCACATTTAATAAGCTATATCACAAACCATCATTTTCTAGATTCCGTTTTTTGTCTGCTTCATGTTCTGCTTTCCGCTGGTACTCTGTATTTTTGTGTTGAAGAAGAGCTTTCTCTCTCTCTAATTGTCTTAATGTAGATTCTACATTCTTTCTTGAGGTAACCTGAAATTATCATAAAGCTTTTGTCAAAGAAACTAACTCTATAAAAACTTTAATGCATTTGTTAATAGTTACAGATATAACTAAATGACAAAGGCTATAACATCTTATTTACTACAAAAGACATTTTATTACAACTTATTTTACTATTACTTAACTATTATTAATATCTGTCTAATAAGCTCACATAACATTATGAAATTAAGAAGATATTGCTTTGGGACTATAGCCTAATACACTATATTATCAACAGAATACCATTATAACTATCAATTACATTTCACATAATTAGTAAATTCTAGTAATTAGTAAATTAGTCAATGAAAGGCTAATATAACATGGATATTCTATAATGTGAATTGGTCCTGTCTCACAAATAAGTACTACTAAGACATTAATCACTATATCCCATAATATATGATACAACTCTACTAATACACTTTTATTACAGGCGAATAAGGGGAAAATATTTTAAAGGAACACATTTTTAAAAGTCAGTTTGATAAAGATTTACCTCTTCTTCTAGTTCTTTTGTTATCTTCTCTAGTCGAGTGCTAACCAATCTAAAGAATTTAAAAAGAAGTAAGAATAAAATGATAAAGACTGAGTAACATTTCTTATGTTTATATCATCATTTTAAAATAACTCTCTTGTCCACAAAAATTCAAAGTTTAGTTATTTAAAAAACATACTTGCACTTCTGGTCCAGGTCCTCTTTGGCTTGTGTCTCATTTTTGAGGTGTTCCTCTAGTAAGTATAGTTTTTTTTGAATCTGTACAGATTGCTAGGAAACAAAGTAAAGTATAATTTCTATTTTATTAAAAAAAATTTTTTTTTAGGCAATTGGAGTTAAGTGACTTGCCCAGGGTCACACAGCTAGTAAGTGTCAAGTGTTTTGGTCTGAGGCCGGATTTGAACTCAGGTCCTCCTGACTTCAGGGCCGGTGCTCTAACCATTGTGACATCTAGCTGCCCCAAAAGCATAATTTCTAGCCATACAAAAAAGTAAAAGGGATGTGATAAATTAAACTAAAACAATGATTAATCTTTAAGGTAAAATACAAGACTATCATTTATATTAAAATTCTCTTACAAAAACTATCTTTAAAACAAAACATTTTCTAAAGATTATTCTTAATGACACTTTTCAAAACGATATATATTGTATCAGTTCTAATACAGGCTACATTTAAAAAAAAAATCTGAACTTGAAAAGCTGAGCTACAGCCTCTTGTGGTGGTAGGGAAATGACAGTAAAATAAAGCATTATGCTACTATTCAGTGTGGAGGGAGTGGGAGGAGGGACGACAGATAATAAAGGTGTGTAAATAAGTAAATGTAAAATTTTTTTGAAGAATATTTTATTTATTTTTTAAAGAAAGGGTTGGAATTTTATGTGAATAACTACAAATCATATGTTATATATTCCATCTCTCACCAACTGCTCTACTTGGACTCTAGTAACATCATGACTCCTCTAGGATAAATTCATTACCAGAAATCTCTTCATGAAGATTGCTACTGAACACCAACTCAAGTACCTCAGCTGCCTTTTTCCTCTAATTAGAGGGCTGAAGGGTGAGCAAAAAACTCCTCTCAAGGCCTCCCCTTATAAAAGGCTCAGAATTTCCAACCAATTCATTTTCCAACAGCTGCTCTTGCAGGGTTTCACTCCTGAACATCATGCCCCTCATCACACCTTCAGCTTCCTACTATATTATTGTTTTGCCCCCATTAGATTGCAAGCTCCTTGAGAACAGGGACTGTCTTTCTCTTATTTATATTCCCCAGTGCTTAAGCATAGTGCCTGACACAAAGTAGGCACTTAATAAGTGCTTACTGACTATTGAACATATAGCTATTAAAGTCTTCAGACAAATAAAAACAACAACAAAAAAATACCCTTATATACCCTTAGCATTTATCTAAAAGAGATCTCATTGTTTAGTTATTATGTACTCATTTTTCATTTGTGTCCAAATTTTTAATCCCTTTTGGGGTTTTCTTGACAAAGATACTGGAGTCGTTCCTCTTCTTTCTCCAGCTCATATTATACATGAGGAACTGAGGCAAACAGGGTTAAGTGACTTGCCCAAAATTACACAGCTAGTGTCTGAGATCAGATCTGAACTCAGGAAGAAGAGTCGTCCTGACTCTCGGCCCACAGCTCTATCCATTGCACCACCTAGTTGCCTGAAAGAAATCTCAGGGATTATCAAACATCCTAGCTATTCCAGTGGTCATCACAGTCATCTACACCTTGTGAGTAGAATTGTTTCATGCTACATGTGCTTGTATCCCCATCACCAAGCACAATGCCTAGCATATAAAATAATGCTTAATAAATGCTTGCTGAATGACTGATAAACCACATAAAAGGAATGCCTACTATAAAACTCCAAATGGTATGAATTTTTTGAAGAATTTCTTTTTAGCATTTTAGATGGTTCTAAAATTTCTTAGATGACACATTATTATTGCCACCATCAAATAAAGTTATATACTACGCATCATTTTGTATGCTGATACAAGTTTATATCATAATTACTGTATCATGGATAGCTCTAACAACGTAACTGTAAAGCATTACTTAATCGGCAGTTATTTAGAATTTTTTCATACTTTAAAATGCAAACTTATCTCCTGATTTTTCCACAAATAACACACATATGCAAAATGATACAACACTTCCCCACCCCCATGTTTATTTGTAGCTAAGTGGCCCAGAGGATAAGAGTGCTGGGTCTGGAATCAGGAAGACTTGAGTTTAAATTCAGCCTCAGATATACACTAGTTATGTGACCTTCGGCAAGTCACTCAATCAGTTTGCCTCAGTTTCTTCAACTGTAAAATGGGGATAATAATAGCATCAACCTCCGAGGGTTGTTGGGAGAATTTAATAAGATAATATTTGTAAAACACTTAGCACAGCATCCAATATATAGTAAGCATACTATGTAAATGCTAACGATTATTGAACTGGTCTATACATTCACAAAATTTCTACCAGACATTTTTTTATATTGAAGTTATTTGAAGGTCTTATGTATTTTAAAATTGTTTCCAATCTTCAAGGATCTGTAATTTCATTCTCTCTACTAACCTACACAGCAAATCCTCGATAGAGTGCTTTCAGAGCCAACCCAATAAGGAGCCTCTCCAAAATTAGCTAGGTATGTTCTTGAAAAACAAACCTCAAGTCTATTACCAGGCCCCTTTTTAATTTTTCAATTTGTAGGAACATGTCAGAGGTTAAGCTTACTTAGCCTTTGGGAACCCAGGGTCATTTCTATATCTTGAAGAGACCATAAATGATTTACCAGAGAATTGGGGAAGAAGATAAGAGATGGTTGAGGGGAGTAGGGTTGAGGGAGAGGGAGAAAGGAATGGTAAATTTCTAATGAGTAAAGAATAAATAAAAAAATAAAAATATTTTAACATTATTTTTATTTTATTTACTATATAACATTATATATGTTATATATAACAACATATATACTAAATAACATTATTTACTGTTAATTTTATTATATATTTATTCTTATTTATTGGGCAGCTTGGTGAGGTAGGGATAGAGTGACTTAGCATCAAGAAAAGACCTGACTGAATCTTGACGCAGGTACATATTAGTTATGTGACCCTGAATAAGTCACTTAATTTCTCTCAGCCTCCATTTCCTCATCTGTAAAAGGGATAAGGTAATAATAGCACTGGGCTCACATGGTTGTTGTGAGGATCAAAGGAGGTAATATATGTAAAGCACCTTTCAAACCTTAAGGCATTGGATAAAACTATTATTATTACACATAATACAACTTTCCATTAATTCACTAGTACAGCCATTCAGCAGTTCAGAAGCAAATATTAAAGGCACTTACAGGGGAGCTTTTTTTCATGCAAATACTAAATACTTAAATATATAATTTACAGAACACTTAAAAATATACTGACCTCATTTTTCCTTGATTGTACTGAATCATTTTCTGCACAGGATGAAGGAGAGTCACCCAACAACCTGGAAATTTTTTAAAAAGGCAAATTAAGTCCTCCATAATTTAAATACTATCAGAATGTTACCAATCTCCTAATTACCATACCTAATAGGCATTTTATCAATCTTTATCCTCCTTGATCTCTCTACTACATTTAATACTGTTGACTACCTTTCTTCTCCAATACTCTCTTCTCTTTGGGTTTTTGGGACATTGCTCATTCCTGGTCCTTCTCCTACCCATGAGACTCCTCCTCAGTTTCTTTTGTTATTATTCATATTATGTCCACTAACTATCAATGTCCTGGACTCTTTTTCTCTTTATACTCTCTCACTTGATGATCTCATCATCTCCCACAGATTCAATTATCATCTCTATGCAAACTCCCAGATCTATATTTTCAGTCCTAGTTTTCCTTCACTAATCACCTATTAGATATATCAAACTGGATGTTCCAGAGGCATTTTTAATTCAACAGGTCCAAAACATAACTCTTTATACCTTCCCCCTAAAACCCACTGTTGTTCTAAATTTCTCTATTGCTTTCAAAGGTACTACCTTCTTCCAGTCACCCAGAATCACGATCTTGTCATCTTCAACCTCTCACTGACGCTTACTCCACATATCCAATGAGCTGCCAAATCTCGGTCATTTCTATCTCTGTAATATCTCTAGCTTAAATATCCCCTCTTCTCTACTTAGAGATCCATCACCCTCGTTCAGGCCCTTATCACCTCTTGTTTGGCCTACTGCAATACCCTGCCTCAAGCCTCTCTCCATTCCAATTTATCAGTTAGCTACTAAAATGAAATTCATAAAGTACAGTCTAAACATTTCATCCTTCTACTCAACAAACTACAGGATCAAATATAAGCTCCTCTATTTGGCATTTAAAGCTCTTCACAAACTGGACTCTTTTTGTCTTTCCAGTCTTCTCCTTTACTTCTTCTTCCTCACTTTGTGATCCAGCCATCCTAGACTACTAGTTTTCCTGAATCCTTGAAGCACCATCTCCCACTTCCCACTTCCATACTTTGCACTGGCTGCATCCCAGGCCTTGAATGCACTCCCTCCTCATCTTTGCCTCTTGGATTCCTTAGTTTTCTTCTAGACTAAGCTCAAGTGTCACCTTCTTCCTGAAGCCTTTATTCAATCCACAGCTGATAGTACAACCTTTCCAAAGTTTCCTTTTATTTATTTTGTATATATATTCTACCCATACTTAGATGCGTATATAGTGACTCCCTCATCTGAATGTAAGTGCTTGCAGGTTATGGACAGTTTCATTTTTGTTTCTGTGTTCCCAGTGCTTAGCATAGTGCTTGGCATATATCAAGCATTTAACAAGTTTGATTTGCTGACTGATGTTCTGCAGACATCTCAAATTCACTGTATCCAAAACAGAACTCAATCGTGATCCCCTTCACTCTGCCCCACTACCTGACTGCCCCGTTTCTGTTATGGCATCATCATTTCCCCAGTTATTAAGGCTCAGACCTAGGTGTCATCCTCTACTCCTCACCTCCGCAGGCAACAGTTGCCAAGCCATGTAGACTCCACCTCATTAATATCTCTCACAACTGCCTTCTCTCCACTCACATAGTAACCACTCTGGTTCAGAACCCTTATCTTTCATTTCAGCTACTATAATAGCCTCCTAATTAACTGATGTGCCTATAGTCTCTCTTCTATGAAATCTATCCTCCACGCAGCTACTAAAGTTACATTCTTAAAGCATTTTTTCTCTTCAGTCATTTTCCAGTTGTTTCTGACTCTTCGTGACCCCATTTGGAGTTTTCTTGGCAAAGATACTAGAGTAGTTTGCCATTCCCTTCTCCAGATCATTTTACAGATGAGGAGACTCAGGCAAACAGGGTTAAGTGACTTGCCCAAAGTCACAAAGCTAGTAAGTATCTGAGGCTGGATTTGAACTCAATAAGAAGAGTCTTCCTAACACCAAGCCTGACACACTATTCACTGTATCACCTATACTTGACCATATTACTTGTTGATCAATCAACAAGCATTTTACAAAGTGCTTACTATTTTCCAAGTATAGTTCTAGGTTCCAGGAATACAATAACAAAAATGGAACAGCCTCTGCCCCAAAAGAGCTTACATGCTATCAAATGTGTGAAGTACTTGTGATTTGTCAGCAGAAGGAACCTAGCCCTAGGGTAGGAACTCCATCCATCAACAGATTTGCAACCTACAGATCACAACCACCAAAGAAATAGTAGATAAGTCCTAGGAAGTTGTCCAAGGCACGTAGGATTAAATGACTTGCCTAAAGTTGTATAGCTAACAAATGTCAGAGGCATAATTTGAATATAGGTCTTCAGGGGGCAAGCATAGCACTCTTATTTACTTAACTAAGTTTATGGCAATACAGTGGTAACTCCTTCAATTTCCCTCACTCTCCACCTCAAAATCCATAGAATCACTCATCTTAATTCCTATCTCTTAGTGATACTACTTCATCAATTATCTTTCATCCTGCTCATGGGTCTGCCTGTCTCAAGTTTCTCTCCACTACAAGCCATCTTCCATTTGGCCATGAAAATAACTGTCCTAAAACCCAGGGATGATCCTATCACTTCCACTAGTCAATGAACTCCAGTGGCTCCCTATTGACTCCAGCATCAGATACAAAATGCTCTACTTGGCATTCAAAGCCCTTCATGATCTAACCTTCCTCCTACTTTTTCAGGCTTCTTAAACATTACTATCTGCAGCATACTCTACAATCCAATTAGATTGGCCTCCTTGCTGTTTCACAAACAAGACCCTCCCTGCCTCTCAGCTCCAGGTACTTATTTTCTCTGCTTGTCACCCATTAATGGAATGCTCTGCCTCTTCATCTCTGCCTACAGGTTCCTTTAAGTCCCAACTAAAAATTAGGACAAAAATCTTCTATAGGAAGCCTTCTTCTACAAGGACCCATCTTCTACAGAAAACCTTTCCCAAGCCCTCTTAATTCTAATGCCTCTCTCTCTTATTTCCTACTTATCCTGTACACACCTTGTTTGTACACATTTGTTTGCTTGTTGTCTCCCCCATTAGACTGCTTATTCCTTGAGGGCAGGTACTCTTTTGCCTCTTTTTGTATCTCCAGCACTTAGCACAGTGCCTGGCACATAGTATGTGTTTTAAAAAAAATGTTTATTGACTATCCCAAAAATTTATCTTCTCTTTTATTTCTTTACTGCCAAACACAATGGAATATAGTCTATACTAATGTCATCTATTTCCTTATCACCCACTTAATTTTCTATAACCTGGATTCTCATCTTTAATTATTTCACTGAATCTGTTCTTTCCAAGATCACCAGGGTCTTCTATTAGAAAAATTCAACAATCCTTTTTTCAGTCATCGGGCAAGAATGGATTTTTATGGCAAATGCCGAGCACATTAGTAGGCACTTAATAAATGCTTACTGACGTCCGGGATGATCTAGTTTCAATCATTTCATATAATAAAGGAACAGGATATCCCTTGCCTATCACATCACTGCCAGAATAATCTTCCTAAAGAACATGTTACTTCCCTATTTGGAAAACGTCAGGGGCTTCCTACACTATCTGCTGAATTACAGCCCAACCACCTTAGCTTGATATTCAAAGCCCTTCATGGGGTAGTTAACAACATGCCTCTTCCACCATATCTCTTTAAAACTCCCCCTTCTCACACTCTGCACTCTACCTGAATTTCTGCAAATGTCCCAACTTTGCATTTCCATTCATACCATTTCTTTGACCCAGAATGCCATTTCCTCTAAATTCTACTCATCTTTCAAGGTTTAGTTCAAATGCTGGCTTCTCCATGAAGATCCCTCTGCTCTGGGTTTAATCAGAGCTCCTCTGAACCTGCATTGCACTAAGAACATTTTCTTATAATTACTTGTGCACTTGTCTTATTTAACCTACTCAATTTGAAGTTCCCTGAGGCCAGGGCCTATCATTTGTCTTTGTATGCTCTAAGACACCTATTAGAGTCTTGCACTTACTACATATTTGTTCAATGAATGACTCATAAGGGAAATAATAAAAGCAAGTGAACAAAACTATTTTGTGTAAAGTTGTGCAGAACAAGGATATAAGACCTCTGATTACATATTATGTTAGACGTCTCTAGGCTTAAAAATATTAACAAAGCATACTTCAATATTATAAAATTAATTCTTTCACATTCTAAATCTGAAAATTATAAACTAAAATCAATCTACTGAACACTTAAAAGACAGCAAAATTTTAGAAAGTTAAGGAAAACACTATTTTCAATGAATTACATACAAATTTTCACCATAGTAGGTAAAACCTATAAAAGGCAGCTGGTTTCCCACAAAGGCTTTAGGAATTGGAAAGGTTTCCATATCTCCTTTGTCATCTTCAATGTCATCAAAATTGCTGCTATCTATGTCACTGCTGAGTTCAGGTACTACTGGAGCTGCAGCTATAAGGAAAAAATAAAGTACTGATTTTACTACTTATCAAGATGTAAAAGGAAACATTTTTTGATAGATTTGGTAATATCACATAATATATGTTTTTGATTATATATTTTACATTAAGATATAAATTTATATTTCAAAGAAAAATGAAGGGTTTGAAATATTAGATCTGCTTTAAAAAGGAGGAACCAAGAAAGACACCAGGAAGCAAATTGATTTTTACCTGAGACTAAAAAAAAGGAATAAATAACCTAACTTTAATGAATACTCCCACTGTAACCTTAATCTGCTAAACATTTTCTTTCTCATGTATTTGTCCCTTTAGTACAACAGTATTAAAAAAGCACTTGCTTAAGGATAAAAATCGGATGCCAAAGTAACACATTAATTTTGCACAAACTTCAAGAAAGGTTTGATATCACATACAAAAACACCTCTTTTCTGAAGCAAATAGTTAATATAAAATTTTTTACAACTGCCAGGGTTTTGTTTTTTTTTTTTAAATCAGTCTGAGTAGAAAAATGAAATCTTTCCATTTCTACATTATAACCTTCTGTAAAAAAAATGCATAGAAAATTTGAATTAAGTTAAAATAAATTCATTGTGCATAGCAATGCTCATCACACAGGACAATCTTTTAATAAATAATACTTGACTAATACATTTAATTACATTTTAATTAAGAGACTATTTTCCCTGTACCATAATAAAATTCTCATGATTCCTTAAACTGACAAATTTTAAAGGCTTCTTTTGACATCATAGGACTATAATTCTAATAACATCTTTAAAACAGTAGAAAAACATTTCATTCAATTATAAAAAATGCTGTATAGAAAAAGTATACACAAAAATATTTTAATTTAGAAATGAATATCCTTATTAATCCAAAATAGATATCAACTTACAAATTTTAAAATGATGACATGAAACATATTTTAATTGAAATACTTACTCTCTCTTATGTTATCCCAGTTCCACTGATCACTTTTAAAGAAAGAATGCTGTTTGATTTCTTCTACCCCATTTCTCCCAAGTCGCACCTCCCTAAACATACCAATTGATTCAAAGTTACATTATGAATAGACTCCTTTCTGCAATAATCTGATATCCTTTTAGTTATTGAATTCAAAAGAGAGTTAGAAAAGAATTAGGAACAAATTTTATAAAAGTTACTTTATCAGCATTTAAAAGATGCACCAAAATGGCTGGAAGGGTAAATGTGCCACGTGAGGCAAACATTTTTCCATCTCAACTTGGTGTAGAAAGCACACACAGTACAGAACTTTTAAATGAAAAAAAAAAAAAAATTAAACCATAAACTTAGAGGCTGCCAAACCACATGACAGACTATAAGAGGTACATGAAGGGAGGTCTGGCTTAGGACACAGAAGAGTTATTCAAAATTTTTCTGATATTTATATTTTTAAAAACTCCACCACCCCTTCTGCTTAAAAAAGAACTCTCAGTATTTTTGTCAAAATATTTGAAGAAATTAAAAAATGGAAAATTCTACATGTGACTATCTTCTATTTATATGTAAAAGCAATGGCTCTGGGTATGACAGAGATAAATTGTGGAAATAATTTCATTCTTCCTTGTTACTTTAAGTGCCTCAATTGTAATCACATAACTATAAAGAGTGCCCGTTTTTAATACATTCCAAGGGTTATGTTTAAGTTAAACAGGAAAACCTGCACACATTTTGAGGGAAGTACTCCTGGCCATATTTATGGCATTAAACTGTACTTAAGTATCTCTTCGCTTCATGCTAATCATTCCTTCAACTACAGAAGTAGGGGGAAAGCTACTAAAGCAGCCCTTTCATGAATGAATTTCTTTCCTTGACAGAAGCCTCACTCAGCATGCTCATACAATCGGGTTTGTTTGTTTGTTTGTTTGCTTTTCGCAACAGATCACACTCCATTAGATTAAGAAAAAAAAAAAAAAAAAAGACAGCATTTCAACTTCATTAAGTAGAGAGGTACAACACAACACAGGCACTGTCAGTTGTTTTTTACTTAACTATTTTTCTCTGGTGCAAGGAAGAGCTCATTGGGCAAGTGAGTGATGGTATATGCAGAAATGACTGGTTTAAGAGCAAAAGGCATCAATAAAAATAAATGTTCTTTCCCAAAAAAAGAGAAAGAATTCTACAGTTAAAGTTTCAGTCATTCCAAGTTTACAACAGGTAAGCTTACTTATCAGTAGTTAGAAATTAATGGTTTCTCTCCAACATTCTTCTAATGCTCTTTAGACTTTTACAATTTAGAGCAATTAAATTATTACCAATTTAAATTTAATAAAACTACATGAGGAAAGGAGGCTAGAATTGAATACGGTGAGACTCAAAGATATATAAATAATTTAGATGTCAAAATTCCTAATCTTTTTTCCCCTCCAGAAGACTGGTAACAAATTATGCCTTCCCCTCAATGGCAAAAAGAAAAAGTGATAGGCTATAGGTACTGAATGAGGCATGAGTTACCCAGATTTGTGCGCCATTTTATTTTGCTTAATTGTACTTTTTTGCTAAAGGGAGGAATCACTGGAAAGGGGCAGAGATGTAACAAAAAGCATTGATAAAACTTTTATGTTGCATATAAGGAACAAAAGTTATGACACTGTCCAAATAACTGCTGGGTCATTTCTTTACTAACCAGTAGAAAAAATATATGTCACCCACAGATCATCTATAAAGTTCATTTTATCTTAGAGTCTCAAAGGATTTCAGAGCAGCAAGGGACTATAAAGAACATATCAACCTGCAAGGTGCTTTAGAAGTCATTTAATCCAATGATTTCCTCTGACAAATGAGAAAATTCTGGCCCAGAGAGATAAACTGTTCACAGACACACAAGGTATAAGTAACTGGGGCAAGATACAAGGACCTCAGACTCTAAATGCAGTGCTTATTCCTCTAACATTATACTAACTCTGTTTCTCACAAAACTTTCACTAGAATTGTTAAACATGTAGTAACAATTAACAATTTAAAAAATTTAAATTTAATAACTTAAAATTAAACATTTAAATTTATCTCTCCCCTCAATTTAGCTCCATTATAATTTACCTTTGAGGTATTTACAATTTGGGCTAAATCTAAAACTCAGCTACTCAGAAAGTCCTTTTGAATCTAAATATTTTACCCATCTCATGGACATGTATCAGACAGACAATGAACGCATGGAGTAAAGAACCAGAAAATCATGGAATTTTATAGACAGGAAAGATGAATCTAAGCTTTTCATTTTATAGAGAAAGAGACCGAAGCCTGAGAGAGTAATGGATTTGCTGAAGGTCATATAGCAAAAGTTGGCATATTAGTTCTCCTGGCTTATGGTAGTATTCTGCATTCATCTAAAGGGATATGTTAGGTATATATTAATAAATGATGATGACAAGGAAATAGTTGAACAGATAGCATTTTAGCTCAATCACTGGTCTTCAAAGCATGGATCAATTACATAGCTTCAAAAGTTTATGAATTTGTAGCTCACAATGTCTCATATTCAAATATAAGTTAAAAAGCATTCTAAAGACAAACAGAAATGATTTTAAAGTTTGGGTGTGTTTGGGGCATTTTGCCACACAAATAGCTCTCTTCAGTTAAGAAGGCACAATTAATCCTTTTAAAGGAGGCAAAAGTATTGACCATTCAAAAGAACAACTGTCTTCAGAATGCATCATATGATTCGTTTTTCAGAAGGCTGCCTTCTTAATTTGTTTGCTTAGGTTCATTTTAAAATAAATTTCATTCTGGTAGACTGATAAGGCATGACTCAATAGCACTCAGAGCAGTTGGAAAAGGCTAACCCACTATTTTTAAATAATTCAGATTATCCTCAAAGCCAACATATAACAACAAGCATTTGTATAACATTTCTATTCACAAAACAAAAAGGTTTGCAAAATACTTTATGTACTTTATCTTATTTGATCCTTACAACAACCTGGCAAGTGATAGAGATATTTTCAGTCCCATTTTCTACATGAGGGAAGAAACTGAAGAACAATCTTCCTAGATGCTAGTGTGTCCTATTTCTTAAACTACCTTGTAATGAAACTATTTTGTATTAATTTATACTTGATTTACCCATTTTATATTTTTCTGTATATACTTATTTTATTATTTTATTCTGTATATGCTTATTTTTTACAAAGGAAATCCCCCTATCAATGTAGGTCAGCAACTGCTCTATACCCTATAACTCAAAAAGCACTGCCTGGTTTCAAGTGAAGATAATGCTGAAAGCTTCAGCAACCTTCCACAGGCAAATCCCACAGTGAGCGTTAAGTCACAGAAAAGATCTCAACTCAAATCATCACCTTGACTCCAAAATAGCATCTCTATCACAGGGGTGGGTAATCTGTGTGCTGGAGGCCACATGTGGCCATGTAGGTCCTTGGGTACGGCCTTTTGACAGAGTTTAAGTTTTACAGAACAAATCCTTTTATTAAGGGGATTTATTCTGTGAAGTTTGTATTCAGTCAAAGGGCTGCACTTGGGGATCTAGAGGGTCACATGTGGCCTCGAGGCTGTAGGCTCTGTACCTCTGCACCACAGTGCCTCTTAATAATGAAATACACAAATAAAATTTTAAAAGCACTGGATACCTAGATTTCAACCCTATGACTTAGGAAAATTAATTTCTCCTTTTTGGGTCTCAGTTTTCTTCTTTATAAATGAGGAAACTATACTGGAGGACCTCCAAAGTCTCTCCCAGCTCTAATGTATTGTGATTAGGTATTCTAGATTATTTTACATGCTAATAATTGGGAACTGATTATATATTCATTTATAACAAATTTCAAAGAATTTATTTGCAAAGAAATGTAAACATACACCTACCTGTCGGTCAAGAAAGCACATATGAGATTCTTTGCATGCTTGGATATTTCTGCATCTTCTGGGAAATTGAGTGAATTTTTATGATCCATAATTTTACTATATGTTCCCACAAGTGAATCTGCATAAAATGGAGTATCCCCTAAAATTCAAAGTAACAAAATAATGAAAAGTCAATTGATTAGAAACATATTAAAACAAATAAATGTTAAATACAAAATTCAAATTTGTTTATTTCTCATATGGATGTGGATGATGATGATTTAAAAGATATAGTGCTAGGCAAATCAGGAAAAAAAAATCTCAATTTGATGAACATTATTGGATCAGGTCAAATTAAATTCTGCTCAATTCTTACTAGGTTTTCAGTTTTTAAAAAATGCCAAGAATTTTAATAGAACCAAAAAATATTCTGAGCTCATGAAAAGAATCAGTTCCTCTTTGCTTAAACTTCTGTCTATGTTCTATTACATCCTAACTTTTCCTTCCCTGAATTTTGAGGATATGATATTAGGGATAACTTTTTAAGGATTCACCTTCAAACTACGGGAACTAACAGTCCTTCTACTGCCTTAACAATGAGTGAGCCTCTTGTTCCATGAATGTTCTTGATTGTAATTCTGTTAGTCCTGAATTAAACTAAATGCTCAGATCAGCAGGGGTGGGGAACCTGTGGCCTCAAAGGACAAGTGGCCTTGGGGTCACAGGTTCCCTACCCCTACACAGCGGCCCCCATCCTCCACCACCACCCCGACTCATCCTCCACCCCCCCTAAAAGTCCCAGGAAGGATGTAGGTAATTTTTTAGAGACCAGAGAGAATCATCCTTAGAGTAGGTCCAGAAATACGATATATAATCATAATATATAAATATAATCTGTTGTGGATCCTCCTTATAGAAAGTCCAAAATAGCAACTTAAATTAAAGAAACTGAGTGAGAAACAGACCAGTCTCAGAAATACAGCACATCATTGTCACTGAACTCAACTGAGTCAGTGAAATGTAACAGTTCTAAGTGGGGTTATGGGGAAGTTATGAGAAAGGGTATGTTATGTCTTAAAATGTAAAAGAAAGATAGCTGCCTTCTCCAAATAAGTTAAATTACTATTTCCAAGAAAATACTTTTTAATTTCTGAAGTAGAATGTAGGTATGGTGGTACACAGCAAAAGGATATTGGATTCACTCTAATGCATCATCAGATGAAAAGAGGGAGAGAGGGAGAACTGGTTAGGTGGGAAAAGAGGGTATTAACAAAGAGAATGAGTACAAAGACTACAAAACAAAGCCCTGAAATGAAGTAGGCCATTCTGGGACGAGGTCACACTCTGACGTCTTGAGAAGAAAGGTAAAATGATCTGTTCTGCATACCTATAACAGTGGTCTAAGAGATCAAAGAAAATAGCTGGCACCTGAAGAAGGTATTTCAAACCACAAGAACAAAACCCTACTACTCCTATTAGCTATTCACTGTTTTAACAATGATTTCTACAACTGAATATTTTTTTTCAGGCTCATCTTCTCTAGAAACCATTTTATCCAATAAAACAGTGCACTACCCTATTAAGTTTCTCAAGTTCAGCATTATACAAGTATTAGTTTTTCATTATGAGAAGTGGTCCTGATGAAGCCATCTAATTTAGTCTCTGATAACCTTAGCAAGATTTTATGGAACCAATGTATTTAAAAACAAGGAAATTAATGAATAAAGCATTTATTATGTGCTCAATATATGAGAAGCACTGTATTAAGCACTGAAGATACAAACAGAAAATGTAAGACAGCTTCTACTCTCAGGGCATTCATATTCTAGTGAAGGAGACAATACATATGAAAAGTTTTGGCTGCAATTAATTTGGAAAGTTCCTATGATACTTAGGGTGCAGTGGCAAAGAAGACACTAATGCTTCCTCTTTAATGTCATTTACCCTGATAAAAATCTTATCAGTTTCTGATACTGAATCATTTGACGGTGCCACGGATTTTGGTGGCAAAAACTTCCTCTTTTGGATTTTCATTAGCTGCGACTATAACTTGTGCAGAAGTCGTCGACAGGCTGTATGTCCATAAGGGTTGGTTCCCAGAATGATGGTTGAGGGCACTGGGCTGGAAGCACAGCTATTCCAAATGCTCCTGAATTCAAGGTCCTAAGCTGTCTTCATTGGAGATAATGATCAAGGTGGGGTGGGGAGGTTGACTTGCCTGGCACATGCTTCTTCCTGTCTTTCCTACAGGGTTCCTTATTGCCTACCCTGTGCATAAAGAGAGAGAGAGAGAGAGAGAGAGAGAGAGAGAGAGAGAGAGAGAGAGTGTGAGAGAGTGTGAGAGAGTGTGTGTGTGTGTGTGTGTGTGCATGGAGGGAGGCACTATGGGAAGGAAGAGTGAAGGAAGAGGGGGGAGAAGGAAAGAGAAGTAGTGGAAAACAAGGGGGGAAATAGATACCAAGACAGAGAGAGAAAAAGAAATATCTTTAAAGTTGTTCAAATCTTGATTTGGTCAGAATGAGAAGAGAAATATTAATGGATCCAACTCTAAATTTCCTTTTACTAAAATGTAACTATGAAATACACCTGATAAAGGATGAATCTCTCTAATACCAGAAAGATTCATTTTTCCAATAAAGTCTGCTTTCCTTGGGCTAAAAAAATTTTAAAAAGCATTACACAAATAATCTAAGTGGAATGAGCAACAACGTTTAGATAAGGTCAGTTCCATATCAGGAGACAGTAAATACATTTGGTGACCAGTAACTTTAGAAACCCAAAGTATAAATGCTTATTATAATAACGTGTTATATTACTTTAGCTATTTAAAATTCAATCTAATTCAAACCCTGACCCTTTATAAAATTTGTCTCAGACTATAGGACTATAGGACTAAGTACAGGACTATACTTGTTACCTAAAAAAGCACTAAAACCAGTCTTGGTCAAATGTCAACTTTTAAGTGCTTTGATTTCCTACTAAAATGAGTTATCAAAGATCTCATGGTACAATGAAACAACCACAAAGTGAGAAGCAAGATACCTGAGCTCTAGTCCTAGCACTGTCACTATGTGATCCTGGGTGTATCAAACTTGCTGGGTCTCTGTTTCTTCATCTTTAAAATGTGTAGATTTGGGTAAATTAACTATTAGATCCTTTCTAGTTCTAAAGTTTCATGATTCTCTGAGGAATAATGTTTTCAACCAACATCCTTGATCTATGAAACACAAGAATAGAAACTACTTCAGGTATGGTTATATTTCTTTGTCCAATAGCATAAAAGGCTTTTATGAGAAAATTAAGAATCTTCCTTCCTAGTAGGATTCTTTCTATATTACATTCTAACTCATATTAAATCCCAGAAATAAATCTTGAGATAGTCTCCCACTATGCTAACAAGACAGGACACATCCAAACCACAACTTAATCAAATTCTCCTAAAATTTTGCTTCATCTTCCATATTTCTTAATTACAAGGAAGTACCAGAGTCCTTCTGACCCTCACCTGATTTAAAGATATAACTGCTGTGAGGTCACCACAGGCAAGCACAACAATCAGTGCCTCTGCTTCCTTTCTCTCACTCTTCTTAACTCTCTTGCCTTCTGATCTCATGAAACCAAAAGGGCTCTCTGCAATTACTAATGTCCTCTTAACTGCCAAATCTAATTGCCTTTCCTCAATCCTCATCCTTCCTGACCTTTCTGCCACCTTTGACACTGTTAATCATCCTCTTCTCTTTGATACTCTCTCCTCTCTAGGTTTTCACCATATTGTTCTCTCCTGGTTTCCCTCCGTGGCTCCTTCACTCCTCCCCACGCTCCCACATTCATTCACTCCTTCCCAAGTCTCCTTTTAAGGATCTTCATGCAGCTTGTGCACTGAGTGCCCCCCCACGATATGTCCTGGGACCTCTCCACTTCTTCCTCTATACAATCTCTCTTGGTGATCTCATCATCTTTCAAGAATTCAATTATCACCTCTATGCAGACGACCCCCAGATTTATTTATCTATCCCTAACCTATCTTCTGAAAATTGTATTCTTGTAGCTCCAACAACCTATTAGACACCTTGAAATAGATGTCCCACAAACATCTCAAACTCAACATCTCCAAAACTGAACTCATTATCTTTCCCTCCAAACCCACCCGTCTTCCAAACTTCCCTATTACTGTCAAGGGCAACACCATCCTCCCAGCTACCCAGGCTCAGAACTTAGGTATCACCCTCAAATCCTATCTCTCATTCCCCGTATCCAATCAGTTGCCAAGTCCTGTCAATTCTACCTTCTTTGTAACATCTCTCAGAAAAACCCAGAGTATTACCATAACTTTCTGGCTGGTCACTCTGCCTCAAGTCTCTCCCCACTCCAGGCTATCCTCCAGTCAGTTGCCAAACTGATCTTCCCAAAGTGCAAGTCTGACCAAATCATCCCATATTCAATAAATTCTGGTGGTTCCATATTGCCAGGACCAAGTATAAACTTCTGTTTGGCTTTTAAAGACTTTCAAAAATTGGTCCCTTCTTGGTTGTCTAGTCTTCTTATACTTTAACCCCTCCACTCTGCCCCCCAACATATTGTATAATTCAGTGACACTGGCCTCCTTGCTATTCCTTGAATAAGATATCACCTAATCATCCTAATTCCACACATTTTACTGGTTATCCCCCATGCCCATAATTCCTTCTCATCTGTTTCCTGGCTTCCCTCCATTCCCAGCTCAAATCTCACCTTCTGGATGAAGCCCTTCCTGATCTCCGTGCTTTCCTTTTGGGGTCATCTCCAATTTATCTTACAGATATCTTGTTTGTACATAATTCTTTTCATGTCTATCTCATTAGTCTTTGAGCTCCTTGAGAGTAAAGGCTGGTTTTTGCTTATCTTTTCATTCCAAGAACTTAGCACAGTGCCTGGCATTTAAATGATTACTGACCTGACTTGCACACACATAATTTTGTCTACTCAAGCTCTCAAAGTAAAACGTTTGGAGTGGGAGGAGGACAGAAGGGAAGAAGATCAGTAGAATGTGTTTACTCACCAACCAGCATCTCAAAAAGGAAAACACCTACAGACCACCAATCACACTCTCGTCCATAGTAGCCATCACCACCCTGTGACTTCAGAACTTCAGGTGATATGTAATCAGGTGTTCCAACTGCTGTATCACAATGTACCATGCCTGTCTGGATGAAGAGAACAAGTAAATAATATGGCTCAAAGAAAAGTTAAATTCAGCTTAAAACAGTGCCCTCTTTAATGAACTAATTTCCAATGATACAGTTCACATTTACATGAGGGGAAATTAAACTGGCATGGGGTCACGACCTTTAGGAACTGGCATTTTAGAAGAGAAAAAACTTCTAAGACCATATCAGTCCATACATAAAAAAGCATTTATTAAATGCTTTCTACATGACAGGTACTGTACTAAATGCCTTCTGTGCTAGGTAACAATTCAGGCACATATATTATCAATGTAAGGGTAATGGTGCTGTTTCATTGATTATCCTAGACTTAGAACACTTCTTGACTAAAGAAATTAGAACACAATGTGAAAAAGGCCTGTACACCTCACAGAATCAATCAAAGCCACTGTGTGGGAAACCTGGTATTGTCCTAAGAAATTTGTATAAAAGGAAGGAACTATGTCAAGATCAGATAGATTTTGAGGGTCTGGAAGTAGAAAGGAGGGAGCAGGGTCATACAGAGTGGAGTCAAGAACTAACAGACCTAGGGCAACCAGCCAAAGGAGAAAGAGAAGATAGGACTGAGTTATGATAAAATGAGATTCATAAGAAGTGCTAAGCACAGTGTCTGGTACCTAACGTCTATTATCTTTTTCTTCCTTTCCCTATGGCAGATTAGAAACCTATCAAGGAGAGTCATTGGCTCTACAAACATTTTAGAGTAGAAGATTAGGGTTAACACCACCTGTTTCAAAAAGTTCCAAGAAAAGGCATGCTTTTTCTTATCCAATTTCCCCCCCTGATGCCTATGTAATCTGCTGTTTTATTAGCCAAACATTTTAGTAACCAAATTTTGCTTCACCACAAAGGGGAAAAGGGTTAACTAGAGATAATATATCAGTGTAAATTTAGATAGACAGCCTAACCTCTGCCTAAATGTTAAGAATTTCACCAACTGGGGGCTTATGGTAAATGTTATTAAACTCATAACTTTTTATCTAAAATAGATTCCTTACGGCCACAGAGGAGGAATATTTAGTAAATATATAATGGCTTAAAATGAACTAATTATTGTAAGTGAGTGTTGCATCAACAAAGAGAATATTTGCCTCTAATAAAGGAAAATCAGGCCTTGCATAGCCAGAGAAGGTAAAAGAAGGTGAGGAGATTCCCAGCACTTTTAATTAATCGTAGGCAAGTTCTAAAGAGGAAAAATTTCAACAACTATGGAAATAAAGGAAGAGAATGATACTGAAGAGAGAAATTTAACCGTATTCTTTTCAACAACCTGGGAATGTCTACTCTTCAAGTATTGGAAAGCTTATTAATTATAGCCCCTAACTACAAGGAGCTTGGCCAAGAGGAAAAAAAAAAAAGAAAATAATGTGAAACAATATAACGAAGGAGATAGTGTTGGACTCAGTGGGGATTGTCACCCACCTCTTCCTTAAAACTGCTAGGAAAATTATCAAGAAAATATCTGTTAAGTAATTTTAGATCCTTAAGAAGACTTGACATAATTCTAAAACACCATTCACATCAATTTTCTTTTCTTTAGATCCTTGGTAAGTTTTTTTTTTTTAAGTTCAGAAAACAATTAGATATGAATCTGTGATTTCTGCTCTATTTTATTGTACATGTAATAAAAGATTATAGGTAAGTTCGTGATGACTTTTATCTTCAAACTGATGTAGATGATCCAGATCATCACTGGTGAACACCACCTCTAAGTCATAATGCTCAGCTTATATGCAGTCAAATTAACAAGCCTTTGTTAATAAAGATATAGAAAGGTTTTCAAACAAAGGCATAGATAAGAGGTTCTTAAGTTTTTTGTGTTATGTACCCCTTTTTTGGTGGTCTGGTGAAGCCTACAGACAGACCTATTCACAAAATGTTTTAAAATGCATAAAACATTTAGGATTACAAAACGAAACCAATTACACTGAAAAGTATTTATAAAAAACAAATTCACAGATGCCTGGTTAAGAATATCTGATTTAGATAATAGTGGCAAAAATAGATTTATGGTATAAACATAAAACATGGAATTATTTTTAAGACTTAGTTTAAGAAAAATGTGAAGAAATTCCTGTTATGATTCTCAGGAAATAGGTAGGAAGTGTGAGCATGCCTGGCAGGGGCATTTCTACACCTTTTGAAACTGGACAATTCATTTCAGTGTCTTTTCACGATCTTTCAGATAATAAATTACTGACCCTGGTAAACAAAAATACTATAATACTAGCTCTGCTCCATATAAATACTGGGTTTTAATGATCTAACACAATTCCAAAAGACTCATGATGGAAAATACTATCCACATCCAGAGAAAGAACTATGGAGTCTGAATGCAGATTGAAGCATACTATTTTCTCTCTCTCTCTCTCTCTTTTTTGATTTTTCTTTCTCATTTTTTTTCCTTTTGTTCTAGTTCTTCTTTCATGGCATGACTGATGTGGGAATATGTTTAATATGATCATACCTGTAAAGCCTATGTCAGATTGCATGCCCTCTTGGGGACAGGGAGTAGAGGGAGGGAGGAAAAATTTGGAACTCAAAATCTCTAAGGTTCATTCTAACTAACCCTAATTAAATATAAGAGAAAATCTGCACATGGTGTCATGTAAATCACTTCATACTCAGGTATGGTTTATATTAATTTTAACTGGAATAACAAATTTTGTTGTCATAAAATCAATCAGCAGAGCCTATACTAAAAACTGTCTGCCAAGTACTCTCAAAACAAGAATTCAGGAAACAACAGAAAAAGTAAATTTTACCCTGCTTGGCTTTTTTTCCCTAAACATTGGAGGTCTTTTGGTTTTTTCATCATTGTCATTTACTGCTGTGTCATCCTTCTTCCAAGTGAACAATCAATCCCGTACAACAAAGAGCAACAGTTATGCAAAACCAACTGATCAAGAAAACTGTCTAACAAGACATGAAACACTCTATATCCATAGTTTCCTCTACTAAGAGAAGGGAAACATTTCGTCATCAGTTCTCCTGGTTCAAGATTGGCCTTTCCTATACTATTCTAACTAAAAGCTCTAAGGGGCAGAGCCCAAGATGGGGGAGTAGAGAGTGGCTTGGCTGAGCTCTCTCAACATTCCCCTCCAAACAACTTTAAAATAATGCCTCAAATTGAATTCTAGAGTGTCAGTGCCAACAAAAGGCCAGAGTGAGACATTCTTTTAGCCCTAGACAACACTGAAGGTAGAAAAGAGAGATTTGTTACATGGGGGTAGAATCTGTCCCAGAGCCCGCAAGGATGAAACACCAGTTGTGGGAATACAGGTGGTGGTGAAAGAAGCAGCAGCAGCTTCAGGAATTCTCAAGTGAGAGATGGTAAGGGAACATGGCAACTGGTAAGAACAAGATTATAGGTACGGTACCTCTGTGCTAGCCTTAGACCCAGAACCAGATGCTGTTTGGCAACTCCACTGCCTATACCCACTTTTGGGGCATAGTGCAAGGGCAGAGAGAAGCACTTTTGTTCAGAAGGAAATGGAAGCCCAGAGAGGCAGTACCACTTCTGGTCCCAAGTGATCAAGAACTCTGAGGAGCAATGTCATTTCTAGTCCCAAAGATGGAGGACCCTGAGAAACAGTATTGATTACAATTCCAAGGGACAAGGGGCTCTTCCTAGGTAAGGATTAGAGTACAGACCAAGAGAGCAGTGAGAACCCCCTCTTTCCCCAGATCACACCACCTTAGAAATACCAAAATATTCCATAACCCCAGAACCAGCTCTGAAAACAACAGTGGAAAAAAAGCCTGAAGCTTGAGACAGCACCTCTCCCATGACCCACACCAGGAACAAAGCCCAACATTAACATAAAGCTCCAAATCAAGAAATAGGGTGAAAAAATTAGCAAACAGCAAACACACACACACACACACACATATACAATCTTGACCACCAAAAGTTACTATGGTGACACAGAAGATCAAGACAAACTCAGAAGAAAACAAAGAAGTCAAAACAACTACAACCAAAGCCTCAAAAAAGAAAAAAAGTTAATTGGACACAAGCACAAGAATTCTTGGAAGAGCTAAAAAATGATTTTAAAAATTAAAGAAAAGTGGTAGAGGAAAAATTAGGTAAAGAAATGAAAGCAAAGGAAGAAAATCATGAAAAGACAACTAAGAGCTTGGTAAAAGAGGCACAAAAAAATACTAAAGAAAATAATAACCCTAAAAAACAGAATTGGCCAAATGGAAAAAGAGGTACAAAAATTCACTGATGAAAATAACTCTTTAAAAAGCACAACTGGCTGGATTAGACGGGCGAGGGAGAGAAATAGGAACCAAAATCTCACCAAAGAAAATAATTCCTTAAAAATTAGAATTGGGCAGTGAAAGCTAATGTCTCCAAAAGACCTTGAGAAACAATAAAACAAAGTCAAAAGAATGGGGGGGAGAAAAAAGAAATGTGAAGTATCTCACTGGAAAAACAAATGATCCGGAAAATAGATTGAGGAGAGATATTTTAAGAATTATTAGATTACCTGAAAGACATGATCAGAAAAAAGAACCTAGACATCATCTTTCAAGAAATTATCAAAGAAAACTACCCTGATATTCTAGAACCAGAGGGTAAAATAGAAATTCAAAGAATCCACTGATCACCTCCTAAAAGAGATCCCAAAAGGAAAACTCCTACAAATATTATAGCTAAATTCCAGAGTTCCCAGGTCAAGGAGAAAATATTGCAAGCAGTCAGAAAGAAACAATTCAAGTATAGTGGAAACACAATCAGGATAACACAAGATTCAGCAGCTTCTATAATAAGGAATCAGAAGGCCTAGAATGATATTCCAGAGGTCAAAGGAGCTAGGATTAAAACCAAGAATCACCTACCCAGCAAAACTGAATATAATCCTTCAGGAGAAAAATACGGACATTCAATGAAATAGAGGACTTTCAAGCATTCTTGATGAAAAGCCCAGAGCTGAATAGGAAATTCAAGTTTCATATACAAGACTCAAGAG